TACAAAAATCTTGGTTTATTTGCCACAAAATCCCCCTTTTCTATTAAATGCAATGAAACAATAAATAATAATGCTTTGCACGAAGTTTCCCCTTGGTATATGTACAAAACGGCCCATCTCTTTTTGCTGTTTTGATACTATTGCAGTTTGAAAATTTCGTAATTCACATGGCTACAGAAGGGTTCATAAACCTTAAATTTTGGTTGTTGCAGATGCTGTTCTGATTGTAGAGTTATGTGAAATGGAAAGAAAGAGATACATGTACATACAGAGACTGTTTTGATATTAAGGTGTAAGTACATATATGAAATAATTATTAGAAATGACGTATCAGCTTATCAGTGAATGTACAAACATTTATTAGAGTTCTATATTTCAGTTAAAAAAACTTTTTTTGTCATTTGTGTATATAAGCAAGGCAAATGGACTTGTTTGTTAATAGTACATTACTCATCTTACATACTTCTAGAAAATATAATTTTATTGAACTGTTTCCTCTGTTGTATACACAATTGATATTAAAATGAATCAGCAGTAACAATAAGACAATTTTATTTTCAGAGGTGGATTTAGGGGGGTGGCAGTGGGCCGTCCCCCCCCCTTTTGTGGGAAAAATTTGGTTGATTATATAGGGAATCACTGAAACATGACTGGAGTGGGCCCCCTCTTATGAACATTTCTGGATCCGCCACTGATCTTTATATACATGTGTAATTACATGCCAATTTTGTTAATTCTTGATATATATTATATGACTTCTCTTTTTCAGGTAAAAATGAGCTACCAGAAAAGATGTTGAAAATTTTAAAACTGTTTTAACAAGAGCATCAAAAAATAGAAAAAAAAGAACAATACCAGGTCTGGACCTTTGTGGCTGCATGCAATTAATTCTAAATTACCAGGAAACAAGATGTAGCTGCACAGCAGACATGGCAGATCTTAAAATTGCTAATAGACATCAACTCAACATTTTCAAGCTGCATATCAAAAATGAAAGCATTCCTTTTCATAGAATCCAAGAAATCTTTTAACCAAGTCAAGTGGTTATTAGACCTGCTATCATGAAAATATTAACATATATATTAGTCACATGTAATATCCCAAATATAAGAACTATTTGGTATGTCTGACTATCTTTCTTCCCATGTCATGTTATATGTATGCTCAGAATATTTTAATTTCACAAGGATATGAAATGGATAAATGATATATTGTCAACCATTTAAATAAAACAGACAGGCTCACATAAAACTTAACTGTCTATGCGAAAGTTCAAGTTGACTGAAATTGTTTATAATTAATACCATATATCCAAAAGTACAGAATTGTCTTTCTCAGAAATTTTGTATGTTTAATAGAATGATACTTGTAGCTTCTATTTTCTTGGATCTGTATGATTATCAATATAAAATTGGTAGATGTGGTATGATCACCAATGAGACATCTTTCCACCATGAAGAGACCAAAGTAAATGCTAGAAAATACAGGTCACAGTTATGTATGGCCTTGTGTAGCAATCTATGGAAGACACAAAGATTACAAAGTGTAAAATAATTCCAACAAGATAACCAACTATCAAGGCTTCCTCTTAAACCAGACAACTCACTGAAACTAAACATAACAGCAATATTCACAATAGGTATTATTATAGAATATTCCTTCATGGTTTGATTTCATTTCAGTTCCTGTGTTCAGAGACATATATATTGTACCAATATGTCTATGAAGTCTTTTGGAAATAAGAACAAAAGAAAAAGTTCTCGTTTGGTCTAAATATGAACGTTTGACCGCCTATGATGACAATTAGTCCATGGTGTGTCTCCAATCAGAACCAAAATAAAATACTTATGGGGAACTTCAAACGCAAACACTGATATCTGACAGGTTTGATTGTATTGGTTTACTAGCTCTTTGAAGCTAAGACCAATCTGATACCGTTTAGCTCTTGCAACCATATTGGGCTTTTTGTTAGGTAATACAGTGAAAACATACTGTTACGGTATTTTCTAAATTACATTCCAGGGTGATTATCCTTTATGTGTTACACAATATAAAAATATAAATCTGATTTTCATTATATGGTTTCATGAAATGTTTAAGAAAGAGGTGCATGCCAACAAACACCTGGTTGTTATGAACATTCTTGATGGTTTTTGTTTTGCCTCTAAGAATTCATTAAGGTGAGACATGTGTGTGCGCTTTATAGCTTGGTGTCGCTGTTTGAACAAGTCTGTGTTTAGGTTACTTAAGAAAACCTTATTTCAACTCGATCATATTTTGCATGCTATTGTATAAGCATGCATATATTAGCAAATCTCATATCCATGGATTTTGCTTAGTTTAGAAATTGAAGTTTCTGATTAATTTAATTTCAGGGCAAACATATTCATGATTCCTCCCATATAGGTCATTTTCCATTTCCCCTCAGTCATTGTCCATTGAACTTGAAACTATTGTCTAGTTTACATGTTAAAGTTAGATTGGTTCAGTTGAATTGAAGTGAAGTTCAGAACCACTATTAAACTGTAGCTAGGTCAATGACTTGTGTAATGCAGTTGTATAAGCAGTAGCATATCATTCCCAGTGAGATTATATGCCCCCTTCATCTAAGTCATACTTATGAGAATCTGGTGATAAAATCAGTGATAGTTAATTGATATGCACGCTTGTATTGACTATTGGCATTTTCAGCATCAGCGATGGATTTAGAGGGTCAAGGGACCCACACCCTTATGTATGGGTTTCATGTATGGTACAGCATAGACTTGGATCGACCCCCCTCGGGCCTCTTTTTTTTAAATTCTGGATCCGCACCTTAGCATATCTCATTTCCATGGAGATTAGTTAGCCTTGCGCCTCTGGTCATGGGCATTGAATGACTTGGAATATTTTTTCTTAGTTAAAATGTGTAAAAGTATTTGCAATTATTTTAACCTTTCCATTTTATCATTTTAATTGCTTACAACGAGACGTATATCTCTGTGTCAACAGTTAATTAAATAATAGAACCTGGGAATAGTTGATTAACTATTAACACACCCGTGACTGAACCAAATTACTTCAGCCTTATTGTTATCCTTTGTATGGTCATCTGTTAAAGTCATTCCGAACATAAGGTGCGCAGTTTTCTCTGCTTTCAAACGTTTCTATATGAACCCGTCCTGGTATCTTACTATTGGAATTTTATCATGAGTATCTGGGCGGATGTCAGAGTGGACCGAGAAGACATCGCTTATTACCCCGGAGAACCTCATGTTTAGCATTAAAGATATGCTTTACAACCTGGGTAGTGTACTTGCTCACAACATGTTATGCCCCAGCAGAAACATATATTACATGAAAAAGTAGTTAGCGGGTTGTTTTGAAGGTTTGAATTCTGTTCTTGGAACACAAAAGTAGATAAGAAATGACAGGAAATAGTGGGGAATCTCCTTTTTACAAACTATGTACATACAGTCTGTGTTTGAGTTTCAGACTTGGTGTTTTAAGTGTTAATAGTGCTCCTTACATGCATTATCCTGATGAGATTTCAAAATTTAAATCCACGCTAAGAAAACATACAAATAATTAGACTGTCTATTTCCCCAAATAAAAAAAAACTAAACCCAATGAAACCCACTTTCAAAATGACTGGATCCGCGCCTGGGTTGTGGTCAAAGGGTGGAGATAGCTGGTTTATTAAATAAATGCAAGGAGTCTGTGTTTTTGTTATAGATGTATTTCTATTTGTATCCATCTGATGAGTTACGCCTTTTTCAACTGATTGTTATGGTTTGTTCTTATGGTGTACTATTCCTCCATAGCACAGGTTATAGGTGAGGGTTGGCGCCTGCTAACATGTTTAACCCCGCCACATTCTATATGTGCCTGTCCCAAGTCAGAGCCTGTAATTCAGTGGTTGTCGTTATTTGCTGTGTTATACATATTTGATTTTCGTTCATTATTTTGTACATATAAATTAGACCGTTTGTTTTCTCGTTTTATTTGTTTAACATTTTTCACTGATTTCCAGGCCTTTTATAAGGCTTTGTTCATTTTTGAAGGCCGTACTGTGACCTATAGTTGTTAATTTCTGTGTCATTTGGTCTCTTATAGAGTTGTCTCATTGGCAATCATTCCACATCTTTTTTTTCTATAAACTCTTTTATTGGTTTTATTGATAAGATGAAAAGAAAAGAAAAAGACACACCATGTTTTTTTATGCATATTATATGATTTCACATTGACAAATACAGTGGTCTTAAAAATATAGAAAACTGGATTCAATTATTCTGTTTTCCATGCATACTAATTAACAAGCCGCTTTGTTATAAGCAGCTAAATTATGCATCCATATATTAATAGAACAAATGTCTATAAAAAGATGAAGACGAAAAAAATGAAATAATCATCACTGACTCAGAGTAACTGCATGAACAACGAACAGTTCGAATACAACGACCCGGTAAGGGAGCATTGCAGGTCGAATGCAAATTACTTGTCACCAATTCGTTAATAATTTACAAAAAATATGTGCACAACGAAAACAAATAAATTTAAGGTCTTCTTTTTTTTAAATGTTGCCACATTATAATATATATATAATCTTATCCCAATTTAAACATGTGCATGACTGTGATTAATACGCGTTAGCAAGCAAGTAAACAAAACGGTGTATTGACCTTTTAATTTAGAATAATAGAGTTCAAATATATTAATATTCGTGTTATAAATGATTGTCATATTGACGTAAATATTTTTAAACCAATGGCAAGATACGATTTATTTTTCGATAGTCTCTGATATTTAGTCGTTTGAGATGGTAAAGTTCAAAAAGGTTCGAATAAGATCTTCCCAGCATATTATCATTGGTTTCCCTCCCCCTTACTTATATTCCCCTGGTGTAATCACGGTGTAACGCGACGTAACGAAAAACTTATACATTTCGTTATCTAAAGATTTTGTCAATCTCATTTAGGCTTCATGTATAATAAATATATGCAGAATTGAAGTATATATACCTGGTACATTGTATGTCGGTCAACAAACTCTAAATAGTAAATGAATCAAAATCATCAAATTTCCCCGCCAAATTTTGGGTGTTTTTAATAATCACCGATGACTATCGAAAGTAATCTTTATAAAACACTGAATCAAAAGCGGACGATGTAACTGTTCCGTCTTGCGAATCAAATCAAATTAAATCACTTTATTGGTGTAAAATCCAAATATTGGGTTGTTATCATGACAATTATGACAATATTTACAAACATACAATATTTAAATTTAAGCAACATTCATATTATATAAGTATCTCATATATTTAGATATTTTGGAGGAGGTGACACTTTTGCAAATTTGAAAGTTAACTTGAGTACAATATTCTTAATGCTATTGTTATAAAATATAACATAACTAATATATATGAAAAAAAGAAAATAATCACGTGTATATTCGCTATAAGCTAAACTGAAACTACATAAAATCTTTATTTTAAGTTTTAAATTCAGTTGCGAATCATCAGATGGGCAAATTTGACCTTATACGAATTCGGCTATTCTTTTTAAGTCCCGTTTTAATTATATATATAGCTCCTTACGTTCCTAAGATCTATTCTGCAAATCAAACTATGATTACCATTTTTTAAAATTACCGTGGCTGAGAAGAATATGAGATCATTGGCTATTAAAATAATGAATGTCTTGTTCGTCTTCATGATTTAGTCCACTCAAAGAAAACCGCGTATACTCTTTTAGATACCAGAATACAGCAGACCTACCACATTACGGTGACTGAACAACTGCATATCACGGTCATAGTGGCATATAATCTTTAAGGTATGCAGGACTAAACTTTGGAATGAGCTGCCAGATGGAGACTGTGTAAGCAATCGTCTCAAAATCAATTCAAGAACTTGATGAATTATTGGTCAGGCAGTTCATGCCAATGTTTCGCTATGTGTTTAAGCTGCTTGGTAGAACTCTGTGTTTTATGTATGCATAATATGAACTCTTGCTTTCTATAACATGTATAAGTTGTGCATGACTTGATATGTATATATTTAACTTTTTTATGTCGGTCTAAAAAGATATTCAGAGCCTTTACTTGTAATTGTCTTGCTTATACCGACTTTAAATAAAGCTTTATGTCTTTTATGTCTACGTATTTATACTTCCGGTCTGGCTTTCAAATGTTAGTAAGGTTTGCGGCCTGGGACAATATATATATATTGGTCCAAAAGTTTGCCAGCGTTGCTGATTAAGTATAGGGATTGGATGGGGTGTCTTCATTTCTGTATTCTTTAATCTTTCAGGCCATTTTTCTCTATTCTTTATATTTTAGTGTTTTGTTTTTTTTTGCTTTTCAATCTCCATTCTTTAATGATTTGCACCACATTTTTCTCTATTCTATATATTTTCTTCCCTTTATTCTCTATTCTTTAATGATATTGTTTTGCCCAATGTTTCTCAATTCTGAATTTTTTTTTGCCCAATGTTTCTCAATTCTGAATTTTTTTGCCAAATGTTTCTCTGTTCTTTATTTTTTAACCAGTCTATTATTCTTAGTTTGTAAACTCATCCCACGTCCCAATCCAGATCTCACATGAAGATAAGTCCAGAAAAGTGCTTAGGACGCACGAAATTTGTACACTATTTCTATTTACTAGTACCGTGTGTCCGCTACCACTGCTGGTGGCCTGTTAGCACCCGGTGTATCAATAGCTCATTAGTCGGTACTGGTATGATTTAAGACATACTATATTTGATAATGTTCCAAGTTCCTCCGGATTTTTCATAGACAAGAACTTTATCGCGGCCACTGTGTACCTAACCAGTGGCGTCCATACGGCTGTGCGGGATGCGTAAATACACAGTCACGTCCGGTCGAAAAGGGGAACATTAAATCCGATGCCTCGTGTCGATACTACACTCTCTGCACATTAAATAACCCTTGAAATAACTTTGTCAGGGGTTCCTAGGGTTTCTGTTGCATGTCAACCGCCCTTGCGGTCTTACGTGCTCCAGTCTCCTTTTTACCTTGCAGTCAAAATTCGTGCACGCATCCTCGTCGAACCACTCTGCAGAATCTATCTATTGGATAATTGTTAGTTTGTTCTTTTCCTAAATATACATGTCGCTGATTAATTATTTGTAAGTGGATGTTAGGCAAGCAACAATCAATCAATCAAACATGTATAAAATTCTATTTTTTGTATTTGTAAATGTTGAAAAATCTTTTGGGAATCTGATTGGTTTCTATTAGAGTCAATTTCCTAATGCATGTAGAGTAAGAGTTTGGTTGGCTTGCTTGCCTTGCTTGCTTTGTATTAATATTTACTCAAGCATTGTAATTACGATTGACATCTGAAAACAATATGAATAGGTGGAGTTAAACTTGAATACATTATATTAAAAATTTGATTGGACATTATCAAATAATCAAATTTACCTATATACAGGTTTAACTCCGCCTACTTATAATTGTTTGCAGAAGTCAATCTTAATTACAATGCTTGAGCAAACATTAATACAAACAAAGCAAGCAAGGCAAGCAAGCCAACAAAATTTTAACTCTACATGCATTAGGAAATTGACTCTAACTGTCAACTCCAATTGTAATCTTGATCGCAATAGAAAGTAGATTTGTTTCTAAAGTTTTAACATTGAAAATCATTGAAATTAAATCGTACGATAATAGCATTTGTAAAGAGAGATCTAACAGGAAGATCATAACTATGATAAATTATGTCCCATGCAGATACAGATGGATAAAAACTTATGATTTATTAAGTTCAGAAAGTCAAAGAATCATCTTATGTGTAGACTTAACTCAGGTAATTAAATTTTATAAAGATTGCACTATAATCTTATCTAATAGTATTTGATTTTTTAGCAACTGGAGTAATACATAAATGTACTTAGTGTCTTTTTGATTGTAGGGATGTAAAATACCCTGCCACGACCGGTCTGTGTTTTTGTTACTTGTTTTTCTGCTTTATATCGATCTGATGAGTTAAGCTTTTTCAACTGATTTGAACTAGTTGCTGTATATCATATTTGTATTTCGTTCACTTTTTTTACATAAATAGGGCCGTTAGTCTCCTCGTTTGAATTGTTTTACATTTGTCAGTTCGGGGCCTTTTATAGCTGACTATGCGGTATAGGTTTTGCTCATTGGTAAAGACCATACGGTGACCTATAGTTGTTAATTTCACTGTCATTTGCAATTATACCACACATTCTTATTTTTATATCATGTACGTATTTGTCCCATGTTGCAGCGTTGCAGCAAAATAAGTTGTGGATTTTTTTTTTCTGAAGATATATATTACAACCGACTATCTTCTCATTTCTTTCATTACCATGATGATTGATATTGTTTTTATCACTGTACCAGTATAGGCTTGATTTCAATGATACAGTGGTAAACATCACAGAAAGAACTTCAAGTAAACGACCCTGCTGGTGAAATGGTTACGTGGAACTGGCGATCTATGTTAAAGTTAATTGAGCTTCGAATCAACTTAACAATTTAGTAAAAATATAAAAATATGAACAAAATAGAAAAAAAACAAAGGAAATGGGTTATCCATCCATGACACAAAATCAGTATACATGCACAGCAAAAAAACACACAAATGCAAAAGAACAGCGAGGCCTTCAACACGGAGCAAAAAAAAAACAACTCTCACCTCACTGCGGTTTTAAGACGGCCCCTAGCCATGGTTTGTCACAGTGAGGTCTATACATGTATAGTTGATATTTTGGGAGGAAACTTATTTTTACAGTATAAGTATTGTGTAAATTACAGAGAAATATGTTGGAAATATTTACAAAGAAACAGATAGACATATATGATAATTTATAATGTATTTCATACCTTTTTGGTAGTTATTGTTCAGTCAATTCAAATGTACTTACATGATATTTGTTTAAATTCTCTATCAATTAATAGTGAACGATACAACATACAACAGTATTATAGTAAACTACTACATCACCTTTGACCTATGAATGACTGATTAGCCATGTGCTACCGTATGACCTTTAAGAAAACATAAACAAAATGTACAGGTAATTATTACCTGGTGTTGATTGGATAAGTTGGCTTCACACCGTGTATTGATAAACTTGCTCGACCAGTTTTGAAAAGATACGGTTCAGTTGGATATCTAAATTTAGTTTTATTCATAGGCATTGATCGGAAACTCCTTCACGATAGAAATTTTCGATCCAATTTGCCTCACCCCTGCAAATAGGAAAAACGTGGTTCCAGAATCAAAACATAAACAAGGAATCACAAGAGGCAAGTTGGTTCCAACATGGAGAAACCAATGTATAATCCGGAGACTGCAAGGATTTATTATTTTCGGTATATGCGAGAGTACAGAGCAGTGTGCGTTCTATGGGCTTTATTGACAATTATTTGGTGCATTCTGAATGTGGTTGCATTCATTCAACCTCACTGGATCGGGGACACAGACGATGATAGGACTGGCTATGGACATATTGGAGTATTTCAATATTGTAAACCGGACTCTGCATACCAAAGATATGTGTGTGATGGATCTTTTACAAGTTTCAATTCCATTTTGAACGACGCCTTTAGAGCAACTACTTTTTTCTGTGGAGTATCAGCTTTATTGATGCTAATTGTTGTCGCAGCATTGCTATTGTTCTTTTGCTTTAAGAAAACGATCGTTTTCTATCTCTGTGGTATTCTAGAATTAATATCAGGTATTACATTTTAGTCAGATTTATAGTTTAAAAATGCATATCTTTTGGCGGTTATTTAAAACGGGATTAACAAAATGGTCAATTCAAACTTCAGGGCGGTGCAAGAAAACTTTGATTTATTTTTATTTTAAAGCAGATAACCACAAGTGATACATACATGTACATCTCATTTATTTTATTGACAAAAATAAAAATGACACTTAGTTTCTCTTGTTTTTTTGTATCATCTGTGATTAAACACTGTGCTATAAATAAAAAATGTAAATTATGTGCATTATAGTTCTATCCAAGAAACTATTTTATAAGCTTATATAATTTAAAAATTTAAATTATATTTACAAAGTAAATAACATTGTTGGCGCGTATAACAAAACAATGCCCCTTTATATACTTTTTTCTTTACTTTTTCGTCAAAGATCAGTCTCAAGAAATGTAAAATGAGAATTAATCCCCTCCTTTTATTTTCCAACTTTCAGTTCTAACAGTTCATTTATTTAGTTGTGACAATATACTTTAGATTTAACCAAATGATTTCTGTATCGAGGTTAGGGGAAATATCATTTATACTATCTTTTTGTCCAGGTTTTAACAGTGTTGCTAGTTCAAAAAATGTTGACCCAAATCTGCATTGACCATTTTTAACTTAATTGAATACATTCTTCTAACAAGGTAACAATAGATCACCAAATACTTGAAACATGACAACATGGACAACTAATAATGAAAGTGATTATACTATAGTGTGTGACAATAAACTTTAAACCAATGTGTCAATACAAACATCGACCTCACAAAAATGTTATCAGATGCATCTGCTTGTTAAATAAGAAATGATTTAATCAGCGAAAATTTTTTTTTAAGATTTTCGGTAAACCGTAAAGATCAAATATAGTATTCAATTATACAAAAAAAAATACCTCTTGTGGCACAAAAACAAAACAAAAATCATGCGCTTGAAATTTAAGCTTTTTAAGAACTGGTTTTAATGCAGCATCCAATCATTCAATCAATCAATCAATCAATCAATCTCTTTACTCATTTTCACTGAAGTACTAGTCCGAAAAAGGGAGCGATAGCTATCGAGTTCCCAGCTGTTCGAAAGTACATGTATGTACATATGAACTGGAGATATACTTATTTGATCTTATGTATAGACACTGCTAATAATTCCCGCTTCTTAGTCACATTTTAGTTTTTCTCCCGTTTTAGTTTGTAGTTTGTTTTACATTACGGAATAAATGTTCCTCAATGAACCAATGTAGCGTTATCGATATATAACATAGAAGAGGGTTTTTGAAGGGTCTATCATTTCAGTAAACTTTAAAATTTTGGGCCAGTTTTCTGTATTTTTTTTTTTATCCCATTATACTCTTTTCTTTATACTTCAATACCCAATTATTCTATTCTTTGTTTTGGTCTATTTTTCTCAATTCTTTAGTTTTTGTATGCTTCATTCTGAACTTTTCGCCATTATTCTCTATTCTGTAAACCAAACCCAAACCCTCATACCGGTGCTAGGGGTCAACTTCGTCTTGAACTTGCAATGATGTACCAGCTTTCCCTCCGTATCGAAGAGCTCACTCACTGACTTGAAACGAAGAATAGAGCAATAGAACTGAGTACCGAGCCTTGGCTTGAGTTCTGTAGCGCGAATTTTCATTGCGTTGTGAATTGATGTCACATCCTTGTTTTGTTTATGTTGTATTTTATACAAATATACAATAACAATTTGCAGGTCAGTCCGATACTCACTGAAATGGTCGATTAAAATTTGCGGATTTTTTTTGTTTTCTTCTTGAGTAGCCTTTAGTTCAAAATCAAATGATAAATCGAATAAACCGAAAGCTTTAGCTCATTTCATTTTTGAATTTTATTTCAGCTGTTTTTATGTTCCTTGCATGTGTGATATTTCCGAGTGGTTGGGACCATCAAGAAGTACGGAACTTGTGTGGTAGCACAGCGGACCAGTATAAACTGGGATACTGTGGTGTACGGTGGGGATACATCTTGGCCATATTGGGTATATTTGATGCTGCTCTCTTAGCAATACTAGCATTTGTGCTGGCTTCTAAACGAGAAGAGTTCCCAAAAGATAGTTATGTAACTGGTACTGTAAATAAATGTAAGTATGTACTGCCTAAAAACGGAATTTGTACTATGAAAAGAATATTACACGCTACTTTTTCGTACTGGTAGTACTGTTGGCAAACCAGTTTTAACACCGTTGAAAATAATGACAGTCAGTACTATTGTAATATTTTAAACGGGTTGGGAATATGATAGCCGAAATTGGATTTATATTTACAGTGCAAACAAGTATTTTGTAATTTAGGAGAAATATTACAAGGTGCAATTGTAATGACCAAAATCAGCAATGATGCGAAATTTTAACTTAGATTTATAGACATTATTTATATAAAATGAAAATAACATCCAGTTGGACTGGTAACCTTATTAACCAGAACCCAATTTAAAGATAGCTTGGCTTCACTTTGAAAATTTTCAACTGTTATGATATTGTAACTATCATATTTATTTAGTTGGCCTAATTTGTGTGGCCTTATAATGTGTTTACATAATGTTTGTGGTTGTTTGCAAAATGAAATTGTGACAGTGCAGTTTGGAAATCACTGGAACAATCATGGAGACAGATTAGAACTTTCTATTTGACTTACATAACGATTCCAGAATGATCATAATAAAATATGCGTAATTTAAACTTCTTACATTGTTCTAGAAGCTTTCCTTCTACAGTGTTCCAGAGATTTCCGTGACAGGTTCCAAACTGCAGAGTCACAATTTCATTTTCAACTAAATAACTATGATAGTTACAATATCATAACACAACCAAATTTCGGGTCACGGTTTTTTCCAAAGCAGAAGGACCTTCTTAAATGACCAATCTGACTCAAATTTTATAAAGTAAATCTGTTTTTTGAATTCAAATACAGATATATTCATTTTTGTTAATAAGAACGTCGTGTTGCATGTTAAATTTGCACTATTTTTAATTCAATAAATTATCTAAAGTTGTCTTCAGCAACGCCACATATCACTTTACTAATCAGTAACCTCGCCATAGATACCAGGATTAAAATTTTGTACGCCAGACGCGCGTTTCGTCTACAAAAGACCCACCAGTGACGCTCAAATCAAAAGGGTTAAAATGGTCAACAGAACGAAGGTGAAGAGCATTGAGGACCCTAAACTTTAAACGGACACATAGGAAACTGTTGCTAAACCCTTTAAATAAAATGTTTGGACTCTTCAATATTTTAATTTCATTGAGGTTCACTGGGATTTTGACCCGATTGTGAAACAAATTCAGAGGAAATTAGCCATACCTGTTAGCAAAAAAGCTTCAACAGAAATTATACGAGATCATTGGGAAATTCAGATGTGGCTATGCGCCACTTAAAGTAGAAACAGGACGATATGGGAATAAACCAGTAAATGGAAGATCTTGTTTTTTGTGTTAAAATGAAGTTAAAGATGACGACATGTTTTTTTCTCTTTGTCCCTTATATGCATGCAGACATTCGAAATATATTGTACAGTGAAGCCGTAAAACATAATGATAAATTTCATAACTTGTCTAATGACGAAAAGTTTTTATTTTTATTCAGAAATGAAGAATTCTGTCAGGTAGTTGCTAAAACCTGCTTTAATTTTTCCTGTAGAATAAAAAAATATGTATATATAGCTGATGATGCAATTTAAATCTTAAATATATCTTTATAGTTTTAAAAATGATGTGAAAGATTGTATGTAATAATTCTTTTAATAGTCTCTCATAATTCTTAAAAGAATGGCACATGTATATGTTTTATTATTTAAGCTTATGATATTTTACTGTTAGTTTTATTATACAGCATGTTTTATATATGTATGTAAATGTTTTATGTTATACAAGTGGTGATGCTTTAATAAAATCTATAAACCGGTGGGAATATAAAGTACAAACCGACAGGTATATAAGCACGTGCAACAGTATAAGTACGATTTTCGTAGTTCTGTTAGATCCCAGTTAATAGATAAAACATATAAAATAAAATGTAAATCATTTATTCATAACCTGCATGCATAAGACTGATTATTGACGGAATCGGGTCTTACTGCTGTCTTCCTTTCAGCTGACATTAGTTTCAATCATATCACATGCATGCTGGACACATGCGCAAACAATCTCCCAACAACAATTAAACCAAAGAATACGGATTTAAATTGAGGTTGAATTATTGACCTGCAAGCCAATAATGTTTTTTTAACTTATTTTGACATTGACCCAAACTAACTACTAATTGTGAAACATTATTTCAATATTCCATTTTTATACGCCCGTTTACGGGACGTATTATGGTATACTGTTGTCCGTCCGTCCGTCCGTCCGTCGTCAACATGTCGGACATTAACTCAAAAACGCTTTAACCAATTTGCATAAAACTTTGGTGAATTGTTTATATCTATTGACGTGAGCTCCCTTTCGTTTTTTATAAATTTTAGATTTTACGTTTCCGAGTTATGGGGTTTTATTCATCTATAAAAAAGGGGGATTTTCCAGTTTTCTGACAATAACTCAAGAATGCATTCATTAACTTGCAAGAAATTGTGGTGAATTGTTTATATCTATTGACATGAGCTCCCTTTTGATTTTTATATATTTTAGATTTTTGCTTTTCCGAGTTACATGGTTTTATTCATAAAAAAAGGGGGGTTTTCCAGTTTTCTGACAAAAAATCAAAATTGCTTTCAGCAGTTCGTATGAAACTTTGGTGAATTGTTTATATCTATTGATGTAAGCTCCGTTTAGAATTTTTTTAATTTAAATTTTACATTTCTGAGTTATGGGGTTTTATTCATTAAAAAAGGGAGGATTTTCCAGTTTTCGGACAATAACTCAAAAATGCTGTCAGCAATTCTCATGAAACTTTGGTGAATTGTTTATTTCTATTGATGTAAGCTCCCTTTACATTTTCATAAATTTCTAATATGAATTAATTGAACTTTATTTGTTTATAGTCTGACTACAGATTTACTAAATATTGCACAACAGCACAGTGTATGGCACAACTGCAAGAAATCTTTAATTGAATATAAATTCAATTTATATAACCAATTTCAAGTTCTTTGACTACATTTATTTAGAAACCTATAATATGTGAAATATTTAATACAATCCAAATTCAGACCTGTATCAAGCTTGAATATTGTGTCCATTTTTGTCCCAACTGTTCAGGGTTGGACCTCTGTTGCGTATCCAGCTGCGCTCAGCGAAGCAGTTTATTGTAAATGTTTGGAAAAAAATCTTATTTTTTTGTGTAAATCGTAGCTATAATGATGACCCTTTATAAAAAGGACGGAAGTTCTTTTTTTCTTCAGGACGTCGGGATTTCGGGAATTCGGGATGACACCTCTTCTACTCCCCCCTTTAGATTGAATGTTACAAAAGCGTATTAAATAGTCACTCTTTTGGATTTGTATAAAATATTGCCTGCAAATAGACGGCTTCATTTGAATGTAGAAAAACAAACTTTTTTTTGTTTTATTAATATACAATATATTTGGATCACTTGTGTTTTGTATACTTAATTAAATCTCTATACTGTGTGGGAAAAGGCCTATTTAAGCAAACTGTCTTTTGGCGTTGTCCAGAGGCGGATTTAGGGGTGGGGGCCAAGGGCCCCCCCCCCTTTTTGTGGAAAAAAAATGGTTGATTATATAGGGAATCACTGAAGCATAACTGGAGTGGGGCCCCTCTTAGACAGTCACTAGGCCCCCACTTATGAAAATTTCTGGATCCGCCACTGTTGTCTGCAGCAAAATTTTATTGTTTGACCTTTTTTAAAACATCCTACACACTTAAACGAAACCGGAACTTGAGATGACCAAGTGATCCCCGTGTATTTTGTATCGATAAAGCAGAAATGTTCAGTAGCAGTTGCGCATGATTATCATGCCGTTTACAGACAAAAATGCATCTCTCTTTTACAAATTTTCAATGAACTGCAAATATTTCGATATTCAAATGCAGTTTCACATGTTTTATTTGCAATTGAAATTCCATAATTTACATATAAAGTGGGTAACTTTTTTTATTCTGACGAAAACAAAAATCCTACGGAGCTTCTGTTTTGTTTGTACATGGGATTCGGTAAAGTTTTTTTTATTAAGAAATTGTCCTATCTTTCAATGTTAATGAATGTAATTAATGTATTGCGTTTCTCGGTACGCTGTAATTTTACCTTCAACTCATTGTGGTACAAATGTGCAGTACTAGTATTGTGAAATAAATTAAAACGAATAAATCATACATTAAACATAGGTGTGTTAAATTAACAAGATTACTAAACACTTTCACGTCATTTGGACGTACCACATTTCCTTATTTTTACAAATATCGATTTCATATTGTAAACTTAATGTCACCTTTTTCACACCATGCAGTTATATACAGAGAGACTTCATTCTTTGATTGTTTTTTCCCTTATATTTCAGCTGAATTAGAAGGCTATAACGTAGACACTATGTCCAAGAGATCCATACCTATACAACCTGTCGTAACAGTACCTGGGGGAGATGATCGACATGAAAGGTTTTCAGAGTATTCACAATCACAGTTTTCACGGAGACCAGGACATAATAATTTCCAGTTGTGAGAAAAAAAAAGTGTCTATTAAAAATCAAATATATGGTCATCAAAATTACCGTTAACTATCATAAACTAGCTTTCTATAGAAAAGAAGCAATAGCATTAAAGGTGATCTTACATGTACATGTATTCAAGCATTATAGTAGTTCCATTTACACATACCCGTATGTACAACGACGAGTACATGTAGACAATAGTGCGATAAACATTAAATTCACAAAGGATTATATTGGAAAACTTCATAGAATTTGTGGTGTTTGTCAAAGTTGTTCATATAACATTTTGTAATTTATTTTCCAGCAAAGAGTGCTACTTTTTGGGATTAGGTTGTCGCAATATCGTCAATTTTGTCAGTGCTGTCTACTGACACATAACACACTTTTTTTCTATTCAGGATTATTGGACTATTGTGTACTTTTAAAACTTTACTCTTTACTGACGACACTTTGAATCAACTTTGACCTTTACTATAAAATGTCTCATTTATTATACCATATACATGGACTATAATCAGTTTTTGTAGGGTTGAGAAAATGTCTTTCGTTGTCTTAGCTTGAAATGTATTGCAGGTTTGAATGTATATTTACATATGTTATTAATTATACATGTATATAAGTAAAACTATAGTTTTCAAAAAGTTAATTGTATATTGAAAACTTGTCTCAGAAGAAATGCAAGGAACTTATACCTACATATTCTTCAAATTTCCATTTCGAAAAATTGACAAAAATTCATTATGATCATGTGATATCTTGCCAATATGATTCGGCTACTGTTGGGCGAATCTTCTTCACATTAATTTCAGGTAAAGTGAATCTCATTCACGCTTATGTAAGACTTGGTAAAACCAGAGTAAGTTCAACGCTTACGTGAATCGTGAAAGTTTTAGTAGGTCTGTGCTCGATTCATCCAATTATTTTACACGACTGGGATTATTGAAACAAAGACATATCCTGATTCTACTACCGCTGGTGTTGAATCTCTGCCATTATACGTTTTGTTAATATATATATGCATATTATGTGATGATGTGATGAAGAACTATATTTTATAAAATTTATAGAATTTGTCACAGTTGTTTATTTGTAATACTCCCCTCCCCCTTCAGTCGTAGATGTCTAATGGCGGTTTATGAGCCTCTGGTATCTTTGCCCTTCTCCGTGCTGCGATCAGACCAACTTAATTTCTGTGCGCTATCATATTGAAATATCAATTGGGTTTAGAAACGTGTCTCCTTTTAATTTTAAATGCACATATCGGATTTTCCCAAGAAAGGCGAGTAATTTGTTATCCCGTCGAAAGATCATGATGGTTCCCATGACATACATTTCTGGTTTTTAATATGCTAGATATACTAACTGCATGTGTGATGAGATGATTGAAGCTGTTAATTTTCTCCTTGGTACGTTTATGTACGTTTCGGCATTAAAGTTTATCGACAGGTTGTATGAATTCCTATGGGCACCAATTGTGCCCCTTTAATAGGAGACTTGTTCTTGTACTGTTATGAATAACAGTTTATGACCAAACTCAGTTAAGACCCGTCTAAATTGCATTTGATTGATAAATTCAACAACACTTATCGTTATCTTGATGATAACTTTCGTTAAATAATCAAGAATTTTCTAAATATTCTGCCGAAATTTACCTAAAGGAACTTATTTTAAATAAATCAAATATAAACGGTAATAACTGTCCTTTCCTAGATTTAGATATTTCAGTTTTACATGGGGAAACTCTACACAAAAATTACGAAAAAAGGGACGATTTTTCGTTCCTTGTTAATTTTCCTTTTTTTTTGGAGGAAGATGTACTTTTGGCACCTTTTTACGGTGTTTATATATCACAACTCGTTCGCTATGCCCGTGTCTGTTGTGACGTTGAAGGTAATCTTTGTATTACTGGTACATTATTAGTCAGGAATTTCGTTACCACAAATTACTTAAAACCTTTACTAAATTCTTCAATAGATGCAAATATTTGGTTAGGAAATTTGGCTGTACCTGTAGAAAACTTATTTCAAACGGGATAGCACATCCTAATTTATACGGAGATGTTGTTTACCGAGCACGGAAATTTAGATACGATCTGGGTAAAGTTATCAATCCTTTAAATAAACTTATTCTAAAAGGTAATCAATTTTGCACTGTAATAAGATCTTTGAATATTGTTTTTATTGGTATAAATATTGATTTTGTTATCAGTAAATTAAAATCAAACTAAGTATTAGTTTTATATGCGTATGCACACTCATGGCTCTACAATCTGTCAATGCATATATCTTGGCACAAGGTCATGTTTTTTCTCTGACTATTAATGACGTCTTAAATAGAAAACAAAGGATATGGGGTATCCATCCTTGACACTACTAAATCCATTGGAAGTTGGATGTACGTACTGATTGATATTTTAAGTCTTAGATGCATATTTTTTATTTAAGGAATGACTGATATTTTTTCTGTCTATTCGAAATAACTTTAAAAAAAATTTCGAAAAAAAAAAAAAATATTAAGTCATTCCTCATAATTTAATTCTAAATTTAATTTTTAAGGAGTAAATCATGAAAAAACGTTGATGACGCCACGGTCACATGACAAAATTATGTCTATGAGCTGATAGACATGACAAAATTATGTCTATGAGCTGATAGACAATAAAAAATTCAGCCAATCAGAAGACGTGTTACATCCAAAATTAAATTATTAGTTGTTATTGGCTTTGATGGTGACCTATAGTTGTAAACGTTTGTGTCATTTCGTCTCAGTGGAGAGTTGTCTCATTGGCAATCGTACAACATCTTCGTATCTTTATATTTGTTGCTCTAAGATCTTAAAACAATACTGTATGGAATTCGGCAAAGGATCGGACTTTTACATAGATGATCGTAAATTAATCCGAAGTTATGCTATTTACAGAATTAATGCCATTTTACTTAAATTCAACACTCTCTCCGTTTTCAATCATTTATTTATATGTAAAATAAATAAATTTATCATTTTATGACACGAGAATGGTCAGATTTAGAAAGGACACAATGTCTTGCTTTAAGACAAGACAATGTTTAATTTGTTGCCCTGAATATGCCATACAATACCGGTATATGACACTGGACGCAAGAAAACAATTGCAAGTTACTTAGAATAGAATAGAATAGAAAATTTTATTTTAAGTCGGGTTTACACGAAACATTACAAACATAAGCTCTGTAGAGCTTTTTGTCGACATTAATAATAACACATACAATATTAAGACATATAAAACATACACATTAGACATACAAAGTAAGACAGCTATAATGCATAAGCAAACATGTTCATATATAAAAGCACAGCACAAACAAGCAAAGCACTAAACTAGATTATAAGCACTTGCAAAGCAGACGAAATAAAAAAAGCAAAACTAGTTCTACAAGCTGCATGGAAAACTCAACATAAAAATCAAAACATTAAGATCTGTAGGAGCCACATCTGCATGAGTAGCCATTCCAGCATAGCTCGTATTAGAGTGTGGCTCCAGCATACCTTAATGAATGAAGACCAAAATGTGTAGTTCTCACCTGTGGTACTTCAATAGTTTGTTGCTTTCTAAATGAGTAAGGTACATTTTTAAACTTAATAATATCATGGAGATACACTGGTGACTCTTTGTGTTATATTTTAAAAGGTTTCCATGGCCATCATTCGTTGACGTCTTATTTTTAAAGAAGGTAACCCAGATTTTAACAAAAGAGTTTCATAGTCACTACTTACATCTTGACAGATGAACCCCAAGGCACGTTCTTGTATTTTTTTCCTTATTTTAGTGTTACCCTCCCCCAAAAAAATGCCAAACTACAGGACAATACTTGAAACGAGACATAATATATGAGTGGCAAATAGTTAACCTTCCCAATTTCAATAGATGTTTCCCAATTTTTTAAGCACATTTAACTGCCTTGATGCTTTTTTTAGAAATTTCAGAAATATTTGTTTTAAACTTAAGTTGATAATCTATTGTCACTCCCAGGAGCTTTACCTCAGTGTCACATAAACTTCCATTTCCATCCAAATTGAATTTAGTATCCCCACTTTTTGATTTATTCCTAATGGCAATAGCCTAAAAATCCGGATTAGCTTTCATTTTGGTATTAGCAAACCAATCAGTTAAAACTGCACTTTCCTTTTTCAAAGATTTAACTAATCCGTTTAGATTTGGTCCTGACTGTGACAATGTATTATCATCTGCATAGTTATACAATTCATTTTCTTTTACAAAATTGAAAATGTCGTGAAGAAAAATGTTCAAAAGCACAGGACCCAAGATTGAGCCCTGCGGTACACCTTTGTAAATATTTTGCCAGGTACTAAAGTATGCACCAACTTTTACACATTGTTTTCTGTTTGACAGATAGTTATCAATAAGATTGAGTGCATCATTTGACAGGCCATATGCCTTCAACTTTAATAGAAGCAAGTTATTGGATAAGCAATCAAAGGCCTTGGAAAGGTCCATAAGCACAGCTGCAACATATAAATTTTAATCGACTGCTTTTTTCCAGTCCTCAATGACTTTTAAAAGTGCTGTATTACAGCCATAGTCAGGTCTAAAAGCTGACAAAGAAGGATGAAATATCTTACTAAAATATTCTATAATCTGCTGATATATGGCCCTTTCAAAGACCTTTGACACTACCGGTAGTATGCTATCAGGTTACTTCTCTCAGGAGTAATTCTGTTGTAAGATGGAAATATATATCTTTAATATCCACAAGGATTCCCCGGTGTAAAGAAGATTGACACAGTTTCTCCGACTGAGATTTTAAATTCGTTTGGCTACTCAATCACGTCTGGTCGGAATGAAAACGTTTAATCCAATGATTCGTATGTATTGGAACGTGCTATGCTGTCTACACATTAAAGATTCCTTCCTTTCGAGTGGTCCATAGGTGGCTGGTTGCACGACACATTTCTGTTTTATGCAACTAATCCCTTTTTTTCAATAACAGTCCAACTTTCCTTTTGTTCACTCGGTCGACCCATTTTTAGATTTATTGTTCTATTCTTTTGGTCCTGAACATGCATATAATATTTGCCACTGAACGTTTAAGCAACAAAATAATCGAATAACAATCTATCATTATTTCATCAGGCCTTGAAATTATCTGAGTAAATAGTACATCACTATTTTGATTATATAGGTGTAATTCAGAAACCAAAATTCATGTTGTCAGAATGATGTACAGGTTTGTTTTCCAATGATTGTATTTTAGCATCCACTTTCCTTACATTCTATCATGTTTATGTTATAAGCGTTCAACAGAATGGCTTTTTTTAATTATTTTATGATTTTGAAGAGTTTGGCATGTTTTCTACAGATATCAGAATGTATACATTGAATGTTGTCTTTGTTTTTTCCAATTATAAACAGTGAAAGATTACACCATGGAATAGGATTTAATATTAAACTATCTGTAATAACGTAATGGCAACTATGTGCTTTACAATCAATAACATAATCATTGAGTATATGTTTATCAGTTTGGATAATAATATTGTTAAAATGTTTTCCTTGCTGCAGAAACGACACAGAAATGCTACACAAAAGTAGGCCAAAACCAGTCAGCGATGTGTTGTCATGTTTTGGTTTGTATCGGAAATTCGCTGCGTTTAAAATATCCCTAATAGTTCAATTTAAATTACAGCAGATTCCATTGAGTGTGTAGCCAAAGGTAATATCTTTGGTTAGCTTGCTTGTTAGCTGAACCGTGAATTCATTATTAGGTCAGGTATACTACCCTCCTTTCGAAGTAGCATAGTCCAACAGACAGATTGATTGGTTTTCTGTCGGACTAGTCTATTCTTAAAGTAGGGTAGTTTACCTAACCTAACAATGACTTCACGGTTCAGCTAACAAGCAAGCTAACCAAAGATTACCTTTGGCTACACACTCAATGGAATCTGCATGTAAATATATAAATATATATATATCACTAGCTTAGTTCGTTCTGAATAGTATGTGATATTTGCAAACAACAATCATATAATATAGAAAATAATAAAAGGGTTCAATGTACCAAGCGGATGGAAGTAAGATTGAATGTGTTTCTATTCTCTGTTAAACTTTGTTGATAGACGAATATGAATCGGAACAATGCCTCTTAAGAGCCTGTGTCGCTCATTTACAATACATAGAAAGTCTCCAACATTGCAGACTAGAATATAATGCATGACTAAATTTTCTTTTTTTTTTGTTGATCTTGTATTGCTGATCTTTTTTTCTGCTTACAGTTTATATCTATCTTCTTTAGTATTGTCCAAAACATAAAAAGGGTAAACATAGTCATTTAAGGGAAATGACTTCAATAGGAAGACAAGTGACAATTTCATCTATGCTAAACTATTTGCTGATCTTGTCTTAATGATCATTTTTTTCTTTTTAAAGTTTCTATTTATCTTTTATAGTTTTAAGATAATAGACTAAAACGCCAAAAATAAGCAACACATGTCATTTAAGAGCAATAACACATATAAATAGTTGACCAACGATTTCAGTAATATCGACATATTTGTAGATCTTGCCTTGTGGATAATTTTTGCCATTTAAAGTCTCTCTCTGTCTATTATAGTTTCGAATAATAAGCAATATTACAAATAAAGGTAAAAATCGTCATTTAAGGGCAATAACTCCAATAAGGAGTCAACTGAGATTTCGGCCATTTGACCTATTCCTAGAAATGGTCTTGTTGATCATGTTTGCTATCTAAAGTTTCAACCTATCTATTATAGGCAAAAACGCCAAAAAAAGGTTAAAATCGTCATTAAAGGGCAAAACTTCAATAAGGAGTCGACTGAAGATTTCTGCCATGTTTGACTTGTTTGTAGATCTTGTTTTGCTGATCGATCTACTTTGGTTTTCAGGGTAACAGGCACTGAAAATGAAAAAAATGGTTAAATTCGTCATTTAAGGGCAATAACTTCGATAAGAACAGGGGCGGATCCAGGATTTTGGAAGGGGGGGGGGGGGGTTGAAGTATGTAAAGATCACCGAGCGGAGCGATGCGAAAATTTTTTTGGACCTTTTTTTGGCTAAAAAACATAAAATAAGTGTAAAATGCACTTTTTTAACGGTTCCTGACGTAAGGCATGTATATTTTATAGTTAAAGTGTAAGGGTTGGACATTTTTGATTCCGTATTCTCCCCATTAATTGTCTACTATAAAATGATTGGATGGATCCAAAGCTATGTACTAATATAATTGATGTGGGACTTGTCAGTAAAAAATTGACATGGAAAATTCTCGTTTGTTGTATGTTTAGTTAGCATAACGTCACGGATTTCTTGTTGTAAACAAGATATACGCCGGGCTATTCAATGAAATTTACAATACGACCGACACGAGTTAAGAAAGACAAACAAGCAATTTTTATCCAAATGTTTGGTTGAAATGTTTCACCCAACAAGGGAAGTGAGGGGTTTCAAATCAACCAAAGGCTACGAATGAGTCTGAAATGACAACGAATATATGAATGACGGTCGCCAAATGGAGACATAATGGCTACACCCAGCAGGCAGGTTGCAGTCGGGCCTTGAAAAAGTATTCATTTTATCAGTTCGACGAAACAGACATTCCGGTCAGATATGGGATTTACATGCTAACCCCCGGCCCCAATTTTTTTTTTTCATCATGTTCGTTTAATGCTAAATAATTCTGTTGGAAATTTTTGTTTCTAATAGCAAAAAAAGTGGACAAGATTATTGTTTTCAATCCAGATACGGCCAGAATTTTTGTTTAAGGCAAAAATCAGGGTCAGAATTTTTTCTCTCAAACATCTCAGACTGCCCCCTCAAATCAAATGGTCCGTACCTTAGACTTTAAATCTATCTAGAGCTAATTGACTGGGGATCATTATTCAACTATGTTATTAATAGGCTGGGGCGTGTTGGGTTAAACATGTTTTCGTAAGTAAATAATATTGCTGTGGAACTTTTTTTCATGAAAGTGTAAAAGAGTATTACTTTCTGTTCGGTGGAATTGTGAAATAGAAGTCAATAAATACGTTCTTTCACAATCCTTTGTCGCTTTGAAGGTGTCATGCTTGTCATCCTCAGCCTAAGCAATGTGTTACTGTAATTTGTATTTCAAAATGACTGAGTGACGTTTTTTCGACGCACTGGTCAACTCCAACGTAGCGAATCACATGATTTTGACATAATCAATAATATATTACAGTAAATACGAGCGAAACATATATTTATAAGTAAAGAATTGCCGCATAAAAATTAAATACGCGGAAAATGGCAAAGTTCACGAAGTCTAGTCTGATTAATCATTTTACAAAAACAAAAAAGTGCAAGCAAAGGGGGGCGTACGCCCTCTACGCCCCCATCTGGATCCGCCACTGAAGAAGTCGTCTGTCAGTTTTGATGTAACTAGGCAGTAAGTAGAACTCAACAGTTTGAAAATTTTGCCTCTGTCAGATTTTCTCTATCTATAGCGATTTTCAAGATAATAGACAATACTTGCATTTTATCTCTATGTTTTATTGGTAGTAATGTCGGCCATGTTGGTTTGCAGGCTGGATCATCGGACACAGTTTTTAAACTAGATACTCCAAAAATGATTTGTGACCAAATTTGGTTCCAATCAGCTCAGAAGTTTCTGGGAAGATTTTTTGACGGACGACGACGGACACCAAGTGAATGTAATAGCTCACGACGGTCCTTTAGGCCAGGTGAGCTAATTAAAAGATATGTCGGATAAACGTATGTTATCGATCCCAGATGGAACATATCCAAAACCAAAAATCAGGCAATTATTAAAGCCGACTCCTAACTATTCAGCTGCCGATAGATTGTAGGATGAAACGTTATTTTTTCAGCAGTGCGAGTACTTGAGCTTGCTTCCAGTAAATGCGAGCATCTTTTGGAAGGGAATTGTTTAGTACTGTTTTACATGTACCTGTGGTTTTCATCTCTAGATCATATCAGTCGAATAGAATTAAGTACTTTTTTCTGAAATAACTTTTATTGTATGTTCTTCTTTGCTACCCTTGTTATTCCACTAGTGGAGATTAAAAAGGATTGGGCAGTTAAAAAATGATTGAGTCAGTGGAGGGAAGGAAACAAACCCAAAACAATCCATCTAGTATTGGTTTACGCGCGGCTTCCAAACTGTGCCTCCTATACCTGAACTAGTCCAGCACTGAAGATGTAAAGTCCAGCGCTGTAGCTGTAAAGTCAAGCGCTGGAGATGACAAGTAGACTTTATATCTACAGCGCTTGGATTCACATCGACAGCGCTGGACTTTACATTTCTAGCGCTTGACTTTTAAAATACAGCACTAGACTACATCTCCAGCGCCTGACTTTAAAATTCAAAACTTTTTATCTGCATGTGACCAACAGGGCTCCGTACCTTTGTGATGTCTATTTAATTAAGGTTAGAAAGACATTTACCAATTCGATATTGTGTGATGCCTTATCACATATATGTGTATATTTGTCTCTGGTCATATAGCTCCTAACGTTTCTGCGTATTTATACATTCAAGTGGCTTTCAAATGTTTAGGTTTGGGTTCCTGGAGAATGTAAATTAGAAAAGCGCTTCAGATGCAGGGAATGTTTAAATTGTTATTATCATTGTATTTCACTTTTTCCCCGAGATAAATTGCATTTTATACCTAAGTCTATCGAATAGTTTCCAAATGCAGGTCAGTTTGCTCCTCTTTTATCTGGATCTATTTCATCCTCCCTAATAACACTCTTGCCACTTGTATGTCTATAGCTGATGCTACACGCGCTGTGTATTCAAATTCGCAGAGACAATTAATTCATTGTTTTTAATTATAATTTATTTTATTTAGTTTTTACATGCATCAGATTAATTATATAAAAATGTCAATGAGTCAGGCGGAGAAAATTTTTTTTGTAAGAAACGTATGTACGTATTAAAGTGGAGATAACTCTAAATTAGATGTAAATATAGAACTCGTTTGACAAGTTTTTCACCTGAACAGGTAAAAGCTCACCTGTATGAAGGTAGAAAAGTTTACAATAACAAAGATAGCAAGACAGGACCTCACCCAAATGCCTTTATCTTGACAGCTGAACTAGACAATTTCGCAGATTTCGTGCGAGAAAATCAGAACCATGGGTGAGGAAAACGAGTTGACCCGTATCTACCATATTCAGTATGTTAGGAATTCCAGGGCAATCACTGTGGTATGGGCCATTTTCACTATTTGCTTTGCCATTCTGAATATTGTTGCTTTCATACAACCTCAGTGGCTTGGATACACAGAGAAATCACTGAATGCTGGATATTTTGGACTGTATGAAGTGTGTACCATTTTGACAGGTGGAGAACTGTCGTGTGATGGAGACTTTTTAGACTTCACAACCATTTTGAACGATTCTTTTAGAGCAGCCAGTATGCTTGTTGGAATCTCTGCTCTCTTGTTTGTCCTGGCCATCATCTGTCTCCTGCTCTTCTTCTTCCTGAGAGCTTCAACAGTATTGAAAGTCTGTGGTTGGCTTCAGATGTTGGCAGGTAATATGGTTGAACTTTATGTTGTTTTTTTGCAATTAATTTATAGAATTGACATTATGTAATTTCTTTAAAAAGGTGCACTTGATTAAGGTTCATGTTACATGTACCTATAGGCTAAATTGGTCATGCTTACACAACAAAATTTACTCTGAGTGCAGACAAACCTGTGTATCTGGGAATTTTTTTAAAGGCATTAATGGAAGACCTGTTTAAAATAATATAAAGAAAATAATCTTATTTACAGGTACATCATGGTATATCTACATAAAGTAAATAATGTGTTTGTGCAATTTAAGATCATTTAAAGGTTTTACACTTGCATGTATGTCAGGTCTCTGGGAAAAAAAATTATAGAACATTATACATGAACCAAGGGTTTACATGTACATCTTACTATTAAAATCCTCAGTATTGCATATCTATACAGAATCTTACATCAAAATTAAGATTAATCAGCTTAGAATTAAGGACAAATACTCAAAAAGATGGAATTATACATTTATGACTGGTGAAATATTATTGCTTAAACAATTTTTCAATATGCATGAAAAGGGGGATCATAACCAAAAGCAATATTTCATTGGGTCATCTGATGTATATGTTGCATTAATGTTGCAGTGATTTAATATTTATATGTTAACAGGTATTTGTATGGGAATTGCATGTATTGTATACCCAAGTGGATGGGATGATGTCAAAGTTCAAGCTGTATGTGGCCAACAGGCTGGAAAATACCAACTAGGATGGTGTGAGATGAGATGGGCTTTTATCCTCAGCATTGTTTTGATCTTTGATGCCTTCATTCTGGCCATCCTTGCATTCTTCTTAGCAGCCAAACAAGCTGATTTATTACCAAAACAGCAAAAGGAAAAACAAAAGAGTATGTATATTACTACATAAAACAGTCAAATATGATCTTAGGAATATTCACAATATAGTGGTGCTGCTATATTTAGACAGGGAGCAAAGTAACAAAATTTAAGATTTGAGTATTTGTTTTTCTGTCCTCTCTTTACTTATGAGGGATGCATGCTCTAATGCTTAGGTCAAATAAAATGGCTGTGGCATAGCAGTAAGCATATTGAACTGACTAAGATAGAATAGGTTCAGCATTAATGTTGGAGACCCTTAACTTATTTTATCAGTACAAAGTTTTTTTAATTTCCTTAATCAACCTGTCCCCTGTCCTTCAACAATTGCATAACAAATTATTTAAATAATTTTTATACTGCCAGTTCATGCAGTTTTCCCAGCCTTATTACAAATGTACATTTATATCAAGTATATGCTTTATTCTGCTTTATGTGTAATGTATATGTATTAACTGTAGAAATTTTGTAAATATCAAATATATGTATAAGTGACAAACTCTATTCAAAATATATAAATTTATTGCAAAAGGTAGACTTAAATTATCTTTTGGTAGTGGTACCATTTCCAGGCATACTGAAGTTGTAATAGCTGGGACCAATAGATAAAGTATTAGTCCCAGGTGTTAAAAAAAAAATTTACCAGTCTTAAGAAAATTAAAGTCTATTATAGGAATAATCTTCCTAAATTTATATTAAGATAAGCTAAAGTAACAAAAAGAAGCAATAATCCTTAATGTATCACTTTATTTCAGGGGTTTATTCAGCACTTTTTGAAAAAAGGAGGGGGGGGGGGGGGGGTTGACTGTTAAAGCAAGGGATAAGAGGATTGTTCATCTATTATTTGGTTTTAACAAATTTTATGAAAAAAGGGAGTTAAAATGTACTACAGCCTCCCCTCCCCAGGATCTGACCTTTGATAAATTGCAATAAATATATTTTAACATGCATTGTTTTCCTATGGTGCCAGTTCATTTCTCTTGAGTGTTTCACTGGATCTCATAGACAAATTATACACACAAGTAGAAAATATATATTTGTAAAACACATGTATATATTATAATATAAAATAGAAAATGTATTGTTTTGTATTTGTAGCATTCAGTAATTTGAATTACAGTTGGGGACAAGGTATAATTTTGATTTTTTTTTTACTTATTAGACTTACTAAAAATAGATTTTTTTCTTCCATTAATGTCGTCTGTTGCTTTTTGGTAAGGCTAACCAAATTAAACAGCTGCTTTTATGGAAAATATTTGCTGGTTTGGCTTTTTTAAGACAAATGGTAGCTATCAGACATTTTGATTAATATAACATTGTTTGTATAATGAACATATGACTGACTGTCCTTGGATTATATTTAAGTTGGAGATGGATAATAAAATATAACAGTAAAATGAAACATAATCAGGTGATTAATTTTTCGTTCATTCTTATTTGCATATTATTGTTTTGTTCTTTCTAATTTGCATATTATTCTCCTGAAACAATAATTTATATTGTATTTCAATCAGATAGATTGATTGTTGTTTGCTTTACATCCAGATCGAGTCTAATATTTCATGCATGTTAAGGATGAATGGGAAAAAGAGGAATGTTTGTAATATTTGAATGTTTGTAAATGTACATGTATATCCAGTTTGTAAAATTTTCCTTGCAGACTAAATAATTAATGAGGTAAAGTATAGAGCAAGATTTTAATGTTAATAACAAATTGACATTTTTATGTATTGTTAATGTTTTACACTTTTTTTATTAACAAAAATTGTTTCAGAATAATGATGCAAAATGAAATTATCTCCCCTTAAAAAAAATTCTGCATTGTTTGTATGATTGTAAATTATTTATTTAAATTGTGATGAAAAAAATGATTTTAAGAATTTTAACATATTAGGTAATTTAACTTTCTTAAATTGTTTAAAATGAAAGAAATTGTTAAGAAGGGGAGATAAGAAGAATAATTTACTTTGCAAGAGACATAAAAACAGTTGTTTTTAATGTCTCTGGCACTATCTGCAATTAATCATTAATAAAACTTAATAATGTTTTTATTTTACAGCTGTCACTTTTATTATAGATTAACTTTCCACCATAAGTTTTGTAAATATTACTGCTAACAATTCAAAGCAGGATTTCTATTTTCTTTTTATTCTAATTTGTGTTTTTATCAAGGGTTTAGTGACAAATGGTTGTAAAATGAATTCATTTACCTTAACTAACATTTTTATTTTGCATGCCAACATTCTAACTGACATACTAACTGTTGTTTAGAAATTATCAATGTAGATTACCTCCCTTGAAAATATTTTGTAGTTCTTTGCAAATGCCAATAATCTTTTGTTGTTTTACAAAGATATGTATTTTTTAATGGAAACACCTTTTGTTCAAAAGTTATGTCAGTCCACACTAAAATTCATGACTATCCTCATTTATTATGTAATGTAGAGAATAAATTAGTGATTTAAATGATAAAAATTGACATTGAAAAAATTAGAACAATTTATGTCATACCTGTTACCAGTATATTCTAAATATGGTCTAATAATATATGGTTAATCTCCACAACAAGTTACAGGACTGTAAATTTATTAGTGTTTGAAAGCAATGATGGAGAAGTTTTGAAATACAATGTACATTGACTATTAGAATAAATGGAATTAACAATAAAAGACAAATTAAGGAGAATTGCTACTGAAACTCAAATAGCATTCATTTTCACACAAGGGCACAGCAAAATAGATTCTAAGATACATGTAGGTCTGGGTGCTTGTTTTTGAGATAAAAGGTCTGAAAAAAGGCCAAGAAAAGGTTTTAGGAAATTTGTAAGGTTTTACATTAGATTCCTTATAGGCCAAATAGGTCATCCTGCAGAATATACTCAGTACTATTAAGATGGGAACTACACTAGAGTTAACCAAAGACAACAGAAATGAAAAGTTAGACAGAGTGACCTACTTTCACTTGAATGATAAGCTTGTATTCACAAGTAACATTCAACAGCATGCAAGATAACTGAAAGATTCAAAGATTTATATGATGACGCAAAGATTAACTTTAAATTACTGTAATATTTATATCACTGGACCATGATATCAAAGCATAGCTCATGGTGATTATTTGTTTTTATAAGAAGCTATTGCAAAATACAAATGCTTAGAACTAAGATCATGAAGATTATTTTGTCTGTTGTGGTTACTGATATAATTTCTTTAAAAAATGTACTGTATTTGGTACCACTGATTTTTATGTGGTCTTGTAGGAACCTTTTTATTGAGTTTCTTTTCTCTTTCTTGTACACTATCTTTGATATCATTATTGCATGTGAATTAATACTAAATGAGAAATATAGAAACAAACACAATACACAAAACATAATGTTGCATGTTCAATGTTCTATGTAGAAAATGTAGATAATCTCAGAATATATAATTCCAAACTGCCCGAGATTAAAATTAAAAATGTGTAGTGTTACATGTGGATATTCACGTTAAGTTAGCCTGTATGTGGTTAAATATTAGTTAAGGATGAGAATATTTGATTGAAGGATAAGGAGTATGTATAGATTCAGGTTGAAATAAGATTGTTAAATGGTTTGTTTATGTTTAGAACTAGATTAACATGGTTTGTTTACCTTTTCTGCTCATCAGAGCTGACTAGTTTGGTAAAGTTGATCCATTGTTCCTGAACACCAGGTATTCAAATTTGTCTGTGTCTTAAAACTATCATGCTATAGTCAGCTTTTTAATTCTAATAAACTTTCATTCATTTTTATGGGAAACTGAAACACAGACAATTTGACCATGCTTTGCAATCACATTTGTCCAAAAACAATAACTTAATGTCCATTTAAGTAAAATATTTTGAAAACTTGGTCTTATTTTTTTATACTTTAAATAAAATTCTGAAAATCAGCCTTGATGTAAAGGAATTTCTGGTTTAAAAGAAAAAAACCTAATATAATGACTTTTGTAATGAGTGCAATAATTACTGAAAATTCAAATACAGAGTGCAAGAGTTAACATGGCAAATTTTGTGAAGGCAAGTCAAAATATTATGTAAGGCTATAGTTAACTATCTTAGTTTAGTGAAAGCTGTCTTCAACAAGCATTCTTATGTTGTACTGTTATACCACTGTCCAAGGTAAGGGGGAGGGTTGGCGCCTTCAAACCCCTGCCACATTCTGTATGTGCCTGTCCCAAGTCAGGAGCCTGTAATTCAGTGGTTGTCGTTTGTTGCTGTGTAACATATTTGTTTTTCGTTTATTATTTTGTATATGAATTAGGCCATTAGTTTTCTTGTTTGAATTGTTTTACATTTGTCATTTCGGGGCCTTTTATAGTCCACAATGCGGTATGGGTTTTGCTCATTGTTGAAGGCCATACGGTGACCTATAGTTGTTAATTTCTGTGTCATTTGGTCTTGTGTGGAGAGTTGTCCTATTGACAATAATACCACATCTTATTTTTATATTTACTTTAGTTTCTTCCTGTTAAAAGGTTACTATCCCTCTTCATGGTTTTGACAAAGGTTATCTTTCTTAGGTGCAGGTAAACTTAAGGGACATTAAAGGGACATTAGCTGTCAAATTCATGTTTACAAAAGTCTAAAATAAACAATTTACAATGCATAGACTCGATAGTATATATCAGCATTTCGTATGTATTTTAGTCTAGACGCCATCTTATTAACTATCGAGGTGACCTCCGAAGACTGCCGATGGTCATATAACCCGAACTAAACATAAACATAGATATAAATAGATTGCAAACTCGTGCAATTAGTTTTTTCTAGGCCTGTTGATTTCATACTATAGGTTAAAAAAATTAGTTAATAATCGTTTTTACCTGTATAAGAATGAGTTTTTCTAGATCGAAACGATCAACCAAATGGTTTACCCTTGTTTCACTTTCAATTTTTACATTCTTTTCCATTTTATAACTGAACACACCAAGTTCATACGTAACCCATCTCTAGCTATAGGGATCAACTAAAGTTCACATGAATACGGATTCAATGAGGTCGAATTATTCACTTGCAAGTGAATAATTCATAAGTGATGTTTTTGCCTAATTTGACAAAACTGAACCAAGCTGGCTGTTAAAAGCGAATTATTGAACAAAAAAAAAAATCATGTTTGATTTTTTTTTAACATTGCGTAGCTAATGCCCCTTTCAATAGATTTAAAAAATTGTAAACAAATCATTTATTAATGAATTGTAATGTTACATAAGAAAATTGTTGAATTAGGTTTAAATATACACATTACAGTTAATTGCATAGTATATTGGAGATTGATGTAGTTAACTTTCACCTGCTGACATTGGGAGAATATTTCTTACAAAATTAACAGAAAAGCACAGTAAATATGTCTTAACTTTGTTCCTTCTGAATCAAAACAAAAACTTTATTTCCCACATATTTCACAGTTCAAATAAGGGAAAATAGGTCTATGTTGACTGATTTGTAGAACTATCATACACTCATTTTGTAAATGTAAGCATAATAGTTCCTCGTTGAGTATTTTCTGTTATTCTAAAACCATACTGCTATTTCTCTTTCTAGAAGACACAAAAGAGGGATTTATTAATGGTGGATTTACAGCAGAGTCCTTTGGAAGACAATCCAATGTCAGTAGTATGCAACAAAACACATCATCTGATCAGTCAGAGGTCAAGGCTGTCTTTAGGTCAAGGACAAGTAGCCAGGGGTCAAAGCAAGGAGGAAGTGAATATGGAGAAGATATTAAACTTTAAATGTGATTCTGCTGTATTTACCATTGTTTAATCAATCCACATGTTTGATTAGTTGAAATTTTACAAAAAATTAGTGTGTGTTTGGAAAAAAAAATCAATATAGGACACAGTTAACAGTACAATTTATGAATTGGTTGAAAATTTGTTATTTTTAAATTTAGTAGAATTTGAATAGCAATATCCATATTTTACTTATGATATGGAATAAATATTCAATAGATGTTAATTTTATGTATTGGATGCAACTAAATAAATTTAACATATCTTGCCATAAAATTTGAACATATTATTATAGACAGTACCATATATTCTTTATTTTCATACATGTGGCTATTAATGTCTGGTCATAAGAAGTAGAAAAGTCCAAATGACATATTACATTCATGATATTATAAAGGGTATTTTTACTTAAACTGTAAATTTTTGTTTTTAATTATTACATGGTAAATATGGTGTTTATCTTAGTGCTTTTCACAAAATCTATAAAAAATGAACTTTAAAAGTTCCTAATTTGTGATTTTTCTGAATTACATGAAAATGAAATAAGATCTCTAGTTAAAAGTTCCTGTATGATACAAGTCAAATTGATCAACAAATATTAGTATGAGCAAACTTTGTATTTATATTTTTTTAAAGTGTGTATGTACTTGTTATATGAAATTATTTGTGTAGTTTGAAATGTTTTTGATCATGTTCATGCTAGAGTTGATTAATTGGATTTTGCTAGCAGTTGGTGTTAAAACTGGCAGGAATTTCTTTCAAAAAATAAATTTCTGTCTTTGTAAATTGAAAGAATCTGTCTATAATTTTAAGGTTTGTTACTTTAACTATAAACAAATATTTTATTTTCGTAGTTTCAGGAAGAAATTATGTTCAAGTGATAATTTTCATAATATACTTCCTTGAGTTTGAAAGACCATTGATTATCTGTTTATAAATATTTTGCCTATGACGTCGTTGATGTTTACATTGACAACTTCACATGTGCCCTTAGTTTCTGATGATAATTTTCTATCTCAAGCAAGTAGCACGATATGAAAAAATTTCACAAAAAAGATCAAAGGAAAAATACACAAAATAGTGATAATTTTGATGATATACATTTGTACTATTTTTTAGAACCTATATTAGTACCATCTAAAACCATACAAATATTACCACATTGAAATACAAGACAATTAATACCAGTAAACTTGTAACAAACATACTAATGAAAATTAGATGTTGCAAAATTGAATACTACATTTATTGTAATGAATCAAATCTCAAAATTGTTGATGTTGATATTAAAGTGTTGATGATTTCCTGTCAGGTAAACCTTTTGAAAAACTAAAATGCAAAAACCAATCATAATTTATATATAAATCACTATATGATCATTCAAATTAGTTGTTTTGAATATAATAATATTTGTTTTGATTTTATATATTGATTACATGTTTATTTATAAATAAACTATTTATACAATTTTTTGGTTATTTGTGTTGCTGTTTTACCGATGTATACTCACACATTTTCCATTATTCATATATTAGACAAACTTCTTCATGTTTGTCCTTAAAGCAACCAAAAAAAAAAGACATGTTTCGGCATTCACAATTACCCGTAGTTTTTTTGTCTCGCCTTGACGGAGTCAAAAAGCGAGACATAGGTATGCTGTTTCTGGCATCGACGGCGATGTCGGCGTCACAATGTATTAGTTTGTGATTAGGTCTAGTTCATGGTGAACCACTAGTGGTAGGTCAATAATATTTGGTATGCAGTTGTATTAGCATTGGCACATCTCATTACCATGGAGATTATTTGGCCCCGCCCCCTCAGTCAAGGTCTATTGACTTGGAAACTTTTCATAGTTTACATGTATTAGTTTGTGATTAGGTCAATTTAAGGGGAACCACTAGTGGTAGGTCAATGATATTTGGTATGCAGTTGTATAAGCATTGGCATATCTCATTTCCATGGAGATTATTTGGCTCCTCCCCCTTAGTCATGGTCTATAGACTTTGAAAATTTTGCTAAGTTAACATGTATTAGTTTGTGATTAGGTCAGTTCAAGGGGAACCATTAGTGGTAGGCCAATGTAAACTGGTGTTCAGTTGTATAAGCATTAGCACATCTCATTTCCATGGAGAATATTTGGCCCCGCCCCCTCAGTCATGGTCTATTTACTTTGAAACTTTTGCTTAGTTGACATGTATTAGTTTGTAATTAGATCAGTGTATGATGAACTGCTAATGTTAAGTCAATGATATTTGGTATGCAAATTTATTGGCATTTGCTAGTATCGTTTCCATGGAGATTATATAGTCCCACCCCTGATCATGGTTCATTGACTTTGAAACTTTTACATAGTTTACAAGTTAATGTTTGTGTTTAGGTTTGTTTAAAGGGAACGACTTATAATCAGTCAATGGTATTTGGTATGCAGTTGTATTAGCATTGGCTCATCTCATTCCATGGAGATTGTTTAGCCATGTACCTTCAGTCATGGTTCATCGACTTTGAATATTTGCATAACTTACATGTTAAAGTATTGCTATTTTAATATCAACATTTGCATTATCAAAATTACAAAAAGGCGAGACATATCTCTGTGATAACAGTTTATTAAGATTTTTTATGCCAAGTCATGTGGACAACTATGGCAGGAGCAAAACAGTTTAACCTTTGATCACCTTTGTACTTAATAATGGTTGTTAGCTTTTTTTTTATTTTATGCTTCAATATACATATATCAGAACTGTGTAATATCCGGTATATGAAAAATAATTATCAATAAATTATTCCCCTTACAATCCTCTCCTGTTAAAAAAAATTCAGTCACAATGACCTACATTTCATGCATAAGTGAATTGAGTTAAAAGTATGTTTCATAAGTATTTTGTGATATATCACTAGTCTCCTACCAAAGTACAATGCTGTTTAGCAGTAATTTAAAAACTGTGACCTGCATTTCCCACTTTTGTGACTAAGTTTTGTATTTAGGTCAATTTCTGAGTAATCTATCAATATGTGTTACAGACATCTTGTTAAGTACAATGCTAGTCAGGATCATGAGAGAGTGTATATTTGCTGTAAACTATGGGAATCTATCAAATATATTTCATCAATTCAGTCATCTTGTATAATACAATCCTGCTCAGCAACATTTTGGTCACACATGAGTGACAAAGTTTCTATTTATGTCCATTTCTCAGGTCAGTAGATGTATTTACACTTGTATGCCATTACTTTAAAGTTAAACAAGTTCCTGTTAAATTTTGTGTCACAATTTGAAGTCATAGTTTATAATTGATTGTAACAGTTGCATTACACCAGAAGGTTATTTGGAGACAGATCTAGGGTCATTTGGAGCAAATTCAGCTGAATACCCAAAAGAATAGGTCTATAGTGTGATATATATAAATTAAAGTTCACCATTTGTATAATACAGCAACATATGGGTCAATTTGTGTTAGGCTGAGGACCCATGTCTACTGACAAATCATTTAAGGGGTTGAATTCTCACTTGAACTGTGTTCATTTCAAAATGGACATAATATATACATGTACAAATACAATACGAAGTAGAAAATGACTGGCATTTCCCTTACTTGATACAGACATTTTAAGGAACATTGCAAGTTACACAAAGTTTAATTTTGGGGAAAACTACTGGTATAACTTGTTAAGTTTTTTCATTGAAAATCTGAAAATTACAACCAGAACAGATACATAATCACGTGCACACTTCTTGTATTCTTTCAACATTTCTGATAAAAATTGTTCCAATAAATTATATTTGACTTTTACCATCACAAGTATGAATGAAAGGGACAGAAGAAATGACAGAAATAAGATTTTCATGCAAAAAAAACAAAACACTGATTATAAAAATGCAACAAGCTGAAATGTCTCGCCTGCTTTACTAACCATTGATTTTATGTTAATAGTCCTAAATATAAAGTTTTACTACAAGTATCACATAAACTTAATATGATCAAAGAAAATGAGGTCAAGGTCAGATAAACCAAGCCAGAAATACATATACACCTTACAATCATTCCATACACCAAATATAGTTGACCTTTTGCTTATAGTAAACAAGAAACAGACAACCATGAAAACTTTATATTGACCAATGAACCATGAAAATGAGGTCACGGTCAGATGAACCCTGTCAGTCAGACATGTACACCTTACAATCATTCCATGTTTTGAATATAGTTGACCTATTGCATATAGTATCTAAGAAACAAACTTAACCAGGAAAACTTAACATTGACTAATGAACCATGAAAATGAGGTCAAGGTCAGATGATAACTGCCAGACACACAATGTACAATCATTTCATACACCAAATATAGTTGACCTATTGCTTATAGTTAAGAAAAACAGACCAAAACACAAAACTTAACATTGAGCAATAAACCTAAAAATGAGGACAAGGTCAAATAAAATCTGCCAGACTGACATGTACATCGTTAAATATTTCCATACACAAAATATAGTTGACCTATTGCATACAGTATCAGAAAAACAGACCAAAACACAGAACTTAACTTTAACCACTGAACCATGAAAATGAGGTAAAGGTCAAATGACACCTAGAAGTTGGACATGTACATCTTACAATCCTTCCATACACCAAATATAGTAGACCTATTGCTTATAGTATCTGAGATATGGACTTGACCACGAAAAATTAACTTTGTTCACTGATCCATGAAATGAGGTAGGTCAAGTGAAAACTATCTGACAGACATGAGGACCTTGCAAGTAACGCAAATACCAAATATAGTTATCCTATTACTCATAATAAGAGAGAAATTAAGATTACAAAAATTTTTTTTTTTCAAGTAGTCACTGAACCAGGAAAATGAGGTCAAGGACAATGGACATATGACAGATAGAAACTTCATAACATAAGGCATCTCTATACAAAGTATGAATCATTCAGGTCTTCTACCTTCTGAAATATTAAGCTTTTTAGTTTTAAGTTAATGCCGCATCACTATCCCTATGTCTCACTTTCTGCAACAGAAGTCACAGGCTCAATAAAAAACTGTGTGTCGCTAAAGGAGTGGAATTTTCATTCATCTCTTAGTGCAGGTTTAACTTAAGTATGCCATTTATTACATAAATTCTATCCTTTTCAACATTCTACCTTGTATCAAATTTGTTTACTTTATTCTTCCATTTGCTTTATATCAAATTACATGATTTGTATAGAAAGAATATAGTTTTCAAATTTAATTCACAGATAATCCCATTCTGAGATATCAACATGCACATGTATAAAATGTACAGAAATAAGCATTGTTCCAAAAAAATTCCAGTATTCTAGCTTTACTGTTATTTTGAATTCTCTTGGTCCTGCAACACCTTTCACAAGCTTCAAGACAGCTGAAAAAGTCAACAATTAATAAAATGTTACTTGTGTTTACTTGAAATAAATGTGGAAATACCTGTTCCTTGTCTGATATTGGTATTATAGGGTAACAGTAAAGTTATCTTAGTAATTTTGGTTCTTGTGTTGGCACACAATTGCTAATCTCACTGAATTTTCACAAATGCTCTATATTGGGTATTTAAGCTTTGACCTATGGTATGAAGTGTGATTTCTGTTTGTGCCAAACATTCATTTGCACCAATGCTCCTTTTGTTCCCCTTCATTTTGAATACTACAAGTTTCACTTGTCTTACAACCGAGTCATTTAGACAAATTCATTTGAATTTTACTAAAAGATATATAGTCAATGATTGACCTCCCTCCTCCTTTATCCAGACAAGGACTGCCAGTATACACTGCTGCTTTTATTTTGCATGCTGTTCTATAAATTTGATTTTCTAATTTGTTTTTCATGAGAATGATGAAGACGAAGATTATTTTATTTACTCAAAGTAAAATGGATTAGACACAAGTAAACTATACTTATGAAGTCCTCTCCAAATTAAAATATATAACAATTCAATATTAATATGAGCATGCAAAATTTCAAAAATATACAATACTTTACGAGTCTTAGTATTGAAAAAAGATGAAACAATAATAACGGAAGTTAAGTGCAGTGGCAAATATTACATGCCTATCAGGATGAGAACATGTTAACGTTGTATGAATATGGACCTAGCTTTTTACTAGACCTACAGGCAAAGTGGATATTTTAACCATTTAGTTTCCAAGAAAAGTCCACAGGAAAACATGTCACCCCACCCGAACATATGATTCTGACTCCAAGATGATCAGTCTTTGTTCTTACTCGTAAATGCCACATGCGTAGTGGAAAATCAGCAAATACCAATTTTCACGTCATTTGTTGACCTGGCCAGGGATTGAAACCCACAATCTCCCACAATAAAGAGAAACATACCATGGAGGCAGTTTTTATGAGAAGTATGTAAATATGACAAAGTAACAATGCTATACTGGGAGACAGCCAATGCATTAAAGGACCAGCAGTTTTATTTCTGTTCTTCATTCTTCAAGTTACTATAAGGTCTTCAAACATGACTTACATGGATAAAAAAGTCTTCATATTTTTAATTTCAGTGTTAAGGTTTTCTTGAAATTTTAAAAAGGAAGACATAATCCATGTCATATAATATAAGACAAAAATTTAGAATATAGTAAAATGTATTTATAAAACAGGGACGTTGTTAATGCAGTCAAATCCATTTAGTGATATTATATGCCACTTGTCTTCTAGAAACAGACAGTGTAGAATAAATCTCTGTCCATTCCACAATAAACATAATTTAATAGTAAATAACTGTGGATTCATTTATTTTTGTGGGTATCAATTTTCGCGCAGTTTTGATTCTGTGGTTTTGCCAAAGTCTGCATATATTCTTATAGAAAATTTGTTTATTTTCATTGTTCCACTGTTTTGAAGAAAATTTGTATACAACAAACAATAATGAAACCACAGTATGCAGCTTTTTTTAGGTGTATTACATATAGAAATTCCATTCAATTTCTTCTAACTGTACTTTAACTTAAACTTATTATTCTGAACCACTCACCTGTGTCACCATTTGACTCAGCAACAAAATTTTTGTCATCATTTCCATCAATTATAGTAAGAAATAGAGTTGGAAGATAAGCATAATTAGTCTTGATATTAAGGACATCCACAGCATCATGTAGCATAGGTAAAGATGGCAGAGCTACAAACTGCCAGGCAACAGATTTTGTCTTATTGAAGATACAGTCTTGAGAGTTAGAGTCACATGGTACTTGGTCACAGACAACACCATCTTTTGCCAGCAAAATACCTCTTTTATAAAAGAACTCAATTTTAAAATTCTATTGTTGTCCACAAATTAAGACATTTTTGTAAAAAAATTATGCATACAAATATCAACTAAACTTTAAAATATGTCTTTATAAAAATGTTTTCTTAAAAATACAAAATCATCCAGTTTTATTTGAAGATCCATGGAAAAGATTTACAGTGGTTTTTAGTTGTATACTAGTGAAAGTTTGTGAAAAACTGGTTAAGAATTGGCATATATCCGAGTAATTCAGAATTTTTCATATTGTAAAGACACTATCCTATTAACAAAAAATAATGAGTTGACCTCTAGATATCTTTGTTATTTGTTGTTGTTGGGTGGTTGTCTCACTGATGTAACATTTATCCTTTTATTCATATTTTTGTTAATTTAAGTACTTTTACAAGCTATACTAAAATTTTGTTTTGAATTTTTTATCTGTTTTTTTTTATTGTATTGTTGTCATATTGGGGAAAAAACTGAGGATTTATTTTAATTTCAGTTTGTAAAATGAAATAAAATGATTTATTATACTTCATGTCAAAATGCCAGATTTTGATTGGTTAATAAGAGGGAGATAATTTACTCTTTCCCATGGCAAATACTCTATTACCCTTCACAAAGACGCTTGATCAAGTGTGCATTTTATTAGAAACGGATAGTTGTTATGTACAAACGTCATAGTTTATTACTTTGAATTTGAAATTTAATAGACATTCAGTATAATAAATTAAATAACACATATTTGAGAGGGTGATAGTGCAGATTGTTACCCCTGGAAAAGACATTGTCAACCTTGGCTTCGCCTCAGATGATAGGGTTTTCTGTGATCAGCTCTATCACCCCCTCGGCTATGTGTTATTTATATTATATTCAATCTTGATCTATAATATAATTTGTCATTCAATATGGAGTGTAGTTTCAAGTAAAAATATGATACTATTGACACAAGATTAGTACATTTTTGTAGCTTATCATTACAGAACAAAACACAAATACAAACATTTATCAAAGCATACTTTTTATTATAAAAAGTGATTACATACATGATTAAGAGTGGTCTTCCATGCATTATTTGTTTATTGCAAAGTAAAACTGTACAGTGATACTGGCTATACATGCTTAATATTAGTACAGATTAATTTACATCTTGTATATCCACAATGGCAGCATGATGAGCTGTTAATTATTGCACAATAGTCCCCTGGCACTAGTTTATCTATGTCTACTAATATACATTCATTAACATTTCCAGAAGTAATTAAGAATTGACCAAGACACAAAAAATGGAGCCAGTAAAAAGTTTGGTACCGGTACTTCTACAGTCTTATAAACTCTCTTCATTAAGTGTAAAAATATGATGAAATTATACAGGGTTTTTAATGATGTCCAATCAAAATTGACAGCATTAGAAGTTATATACTGCAATTTAAAATGTTCAAACTGTTTTCAATTCACTTTTTTAATTATTAATTTGAACACATGCAAAAAATGGTGGCATCAAAACTTATGAATAAAATAAAAAAACAAAATTGCTTATTTTGAAGTTTTCAAAAGTTTGATGATACTAATAGGAATAAGTCAATGATCATTAGTACACGTATGATGAAATATAACATAATTGGGTTGGGGACTACTAACATAATTGGGTTGGGGACTACTAACATGATTGGGTTGGGGCTACTAAAAGGTTTGTATCTACACAAATCCTATAAAAGCTTTAATTACACAAACAAATATAAATCTACTGGTCACAAAGCAATATATTATTTTTCTAAATCAAAGCTACATTGTTGAAAATTAATATATAATTTTAAAAAAATGGAACTACTTGTTAGCCAAACATAATTCTGTTTTCATTTGGTATGACTATGTGTTTTCATTGTAAAATTAGCCTAAAATGGACAAATGTATAATCAGTTACTGAAAGATGGTTTTCCAGAATAACTAAAAACATTCAAGTAAAACAACTTCAGAACAGAATAGGTTTTTAAAACCGTTAACAAATCAATAAAGTAAAGCGTATTCTGCAGATGGACAATTACTCAATGTTTTAAATAAGGAATGTTTCTTCATATTAATAATGTTGAACTTTTTCTGAAAGTTTTCTTTCCTTTCCAAAATTGTTTTCAAAACATTTTAATCAATGTTTAAAAACATGTATGTATAAACTTTTTATGTTACTCAAGCACATCATTTCAAAGGGAAATAAGAGAACCAGCACCAATGATTATGTTATAATAAATACCATTCAATATATAGCTAGGACATGCATTCATTGGTAAATATTTCTACAGTTAAGATGCTTGCAAATATAATACATAACTGTGACCTCCAAAGATGTGACTTGACCTCATTTATGTACTTGATTTATCATAAAGTTGACGAATCTATTTGGAAATTAGAGTTGTCTTTCTTAGAACTTTTTTCAACTATTATTCTGTTTGATTGAGTGGAAATTAGTATTGGGGATTTATATACAAATGGAATGTATTGAGTATTAGCCCTATCAAATTTTACAAAATGTAATCAAGATAATATTTATCTAGACTATAGATGAAATGAAATTAATATATACAACATAAATGCTTTATACATTCTAAAAAAAATTGGCATTATGTACAACACAATAATAAAAAAGAATTTTTAGGAAAATTAAAGAAGCTTTTAGTGTGTTCAAAGTATAAAGATACAATACTTTTTTTAAAAATGGCTCAATTAATTTACCACATTCTTTTATTCTTGCAGAATATTTGGTGTATCTAATTGTGAAAAGTCTTCAATAACAATTGTTACAAAAATTAAATTAATTTTTTTCTTAAGTTGAATACTTTAGCTGTACATGTTGTAATTTAACAATTTGTAACACTCTAAAAGCTTCTTTAATTTCCAAAAAAAATTATTTTTTTTATTTTTGTGTTTTACATGTTGTGCAAATAACTATCAATTTTTGTGATAAACTTCTATTTAATAAACAATCAATATAACACAGGAATACAGTTTACAAATAACAATGTTAGCTTTGGTTTCGTTCTAAAGTTTTGATATTAAAAACATAAAACTTCATGGAAAATCTTCTCTAAGACTACTATGAAATGTTAGCTCCTGTGACATAAAGGAATATTTTGGATACAGCAGTCCCTGTGTATCTTGTGTATCGGTCTGTTATTTTCATTTTTAATTCCAGTTCAATATCTTGAGGTCCAGAAACTCTGTAATTTAAGGCAACAACAGCTTCACCAGGCCCCACCTTCAAGTCAAAATAACCACGATTAACTTGCACTGAATTAGCTCTGAGTGGTGTTACCTTGACAACCTTTAATTCCCAATCAAATATTTTTTCTGTCGTCTGCGGTCCAGACATGGCAAATAAGTCACTGGGAATTTTCACATTTTCAGGAAATGACAGGAAGTTGTATGACAAAGAAATTGGCGCATTAATGCATTCATAGTCATTCTGTCGACAGGTGAAAGATATTCTTTTGCATCGAACACTGAAATATAGAAATTTGAATAAAGGGAGACAATTCAATTAATTGATTTATAAATCATTAAAATATAAACTTCAATAATTAGTTAGGATCTGTATTATTTCAAAGTAATATCATAAGAATTCCCAAAAAATTTAATATTTAGATACCATTTCAAGCATGGTTAGATTAAAGATAAATAATTTGAAAAATCGTTTCTTAGCATTCCAATCAGAAATATATTATAACAAACAAGAAAGGCAGTTTCAAGTTACTGTTTTTAAACTATTGCTGTGACATTTTTCAATCATGCATTTTGTATTACTTCATATCCATTTACTGTTTAATATTAAATGAAATAGTGCTTATTTTGAGAAGTTTGTGTATATCCAGCAGGAAATATAACATGCAATTCATGTGATGAAATAATTTAAACTAACATATGTTTTTTTGCCAAAACATGCAGTCTGAGTAAAATTTACAAACAAACAAACAAAAATTTACACTTTTACCATAATTAACTTTTATCTTTATAACATAATAACTAACCTATTTCTTCTTGGACCTAAAGGTGTTCTAACAAATCCTGATGGACACTGAATCTGTGGACATTTGTAACTTCCTCTAGTGTTATAGCACATGGCTTCTTGACCTTGACATCTAGCTGTGCCTTCTGCACACTCATCAATATCTAAAAGGAATGAATAAAATTGAGAATGGTAATGGGGAATGTGTCAAAGAGATAGCAACCTGACCAAAGAGCAGAAAACAGCCCAAGGCCACCAATGGGTCTTCAACACAGCAAGAAAATCCCGCACCCAGAGGCGGGTGTCAGCTGGCCCCTTAACAAAAATGTGTATTAGTTCAGTGAAAATGGACGTCACACTAAACTCCTAACATATAAATGAACTAAAATTAAAACAACATACAAGACTAAGAAGTAAAGCATATCTTAAAATATAATTTAAACAAAAACACAAATTTAAAAAAAAATTCAAATTCAAAATAATTGTAGTATGCTACTTAGTGAAAATGTATGAATTATTTAAACCTATCTAAGAATGAAATGTTCATTGTTCAAGAAGTCCCATCTAAGGAATTGATCTTTAAAGGAAATGCTAGTTACTAATTCATATTTTGTTGCAGTTGTTTAGATCACTCCAAATTTTAGCCAGGTCTACCAAAAAATTGTAACTTGCTAATATCTTAATTACTCAAATAAAACAGCTTGATTCCATTTGACTTAACCTTTGACATGTTCAATTTTGTGGGAAAGTACACTTACTCAATAATGTGTATAGTAAACCTAAACTCAATCCACAATGTTTTTTTTTTAGTAAATGGAACATTTAAAAGACCTTGACCTTACCCTGACATGTTCTTCCGTTGGAAAGTGACCTCCAACCTTCTGGACATGAACACCTGTAAGAACCTGGCAAATTTATACATTCTCCAGCACAAACCTGACCTCTGTTGGCATAAGTACGACATTCATCAATATCTGTAAATAAAGCATGGAATAAATGAATGTGAGAAAAAAAACCCTGTTAAATTCACTAATTTCAGCAATAAATAACAAGTACTCATTAAATTATTTTTTTTAACCTTTCAGTTATTTTCAGGAAAAGTTAAAGACGCAAAATTCTTACAACGAAAGACTACCTGTAAGCTATACTAAACAGCATGGTTAGGGGATACCCAAACTGTATATGATTTTACAGACAAAACTGGTACAGTAAGTAGGGAGATCCATGTGATTGTTTTATGATCTGTTGACAACAGGTAACCTGCAACTAACATATTATGTGAGGGTTATATGATGCCAAATAGCAATACAGACAAATCATATATGCACTCTGTTAGCACACCTTCCTGGAACTGACTTTCCACATGCTCTGTGTTCAATAGATAATATATAATGTGTCTCAAATGTGCAATGGTGAAATCCTATGAGGGTCTGGATGGGGGTTCTTCACTTCTGTATTCTTTAAATACTTAGACTATTGTTCTCTATTCTTTAAACATTTTGCCAATTATTCTCTATTCTTCAAATTTAGCACCCGATTATTCTCTATTTTATATTTATTTGACCTTTTATTTTTTATTCTTTAATTTTTTGGCCATTTTTCTGTAATATTGACCCATTATTCTCTATTCTGTAAACCCCATCCAGACCCTAATCCTGTTGTGTTGCCCAAATAAATGTGAAATTTATCTTATTTTCTTTCCTGAAATTGATCTCTCAATGCTTAATTCCACACTTAAAGAATTATTGAATTTCTTTATGTTTATAAAGCTGACACATCTTACTGGTAGTGGTGTTAATACTGCACATTTCACTGCATTTTTAGCTGTATCTCACCAAACATATGATTCCTTTTTTCTGTTTTCTACCTTTGTTGAAGTATTCACATTAAGGATGTCTGACGAACAAAGATTTATTTTTTCGTGATATCATTCTTCTTTAAAAATCAATTGAATAAATTAGTTGGTTGACAGTTTAAAATGTGAGAACCCTTTAGTTCGACTCGGATAATGCAATTTTGCCACTTATTTTATCCTAGTCTGATATTAACATTTGGATAAACTGTTTCTGTAGATCCACATTCTAATACTAACCTTCACATGTTCTCTGATCAGTAGATAACTGGTATCCTGTTTCACATGTGCAATGATAAGATCCTATCATGTTGACACATCCATGTTGACACCTATTTGGCTCTTGACACTCATCAATGTCTAAAATTAAAATGAATAAAAAAGTAGATCAATCTAAAATATACAACATTTCAAATAAATGAATCAAATTGTATAAAAATGCATTTATTTTTTTATTTTGCCAAGACTTCAACTTATTTACCGAAATAGACCAGAGAGAAAATGTTGGCATAAAATTACTGGTTTCTATAATTCAAAGCATCTGTAAAAGATCATTGCTCCTGTCTCTCTCATTTAACAGCAACTTCATGATATTTAATGAATTTATGCGTCTTACTATGTTGTTTAAATTACAAATATCAAAATAGTACTTATCTCCTGTCATTAATCAGACAAGGGATAAGTACCAGATTCAAGTAGGAGGTAGTTTAATCAATGTAATGTACACAGGACGATATTAAAATACATTCACAACTATAACTGTATGGCACATTGGAACTACTACATAGACACATCCACACATGAATTCAATTCACCGTTTCAGAATCTAATTCATTCTGGTTAATATTTTCAAAAGTACACCAAAGCGTCGTGATTGGTTAAAAAACGTTCTAAACAATTGAAATTCAACCAATGACGTGATGTTATTTTCATTTAACAAACAATAAATTACCCATAGTCCTTTAGGTTCTGAAGTGGCCTATTGATGTTGGTAAATCAGGGATACAGTACGGGTACTCACTATACTGTACTCATCCAAACAAACCTATTGATGTTGGTAAATCAGGGATACAGTACGGGTACTCACTATACTGTACTCATACAAACGGCCTATTGATGTTGGTAAATCAGGGATACAGTACGGGTACTCACTATACTGTACTCACACAAACGGCCTATTGATGTTGGTAAATCAGGGATACAGTACGGGTACTCACTATACTGTACTCATCCAAACGGCCTATTGATGTTGGTAAATCAGGGACACAGTATGGGTACTCACTATACTGTACTCATCCAAACAAACCTTATGAATACTGTACTCACCCACACAAACTCTACCCTCCTGTTTAAGCCCAGGATTACATTCACACCTATAACTTCCTTGAGTATTTGTACAACCGGCATTGAAAGGACAAACATTTCCATAGGCACATTCATCAACATCTAAAAAATGATATAAATTGTAGTTTTAAAAAAATTCGTAAGGGTTCCGCGGAACCCAGTGTCTCGCCTACTTTTGCTGTTAAACGCAGGCTCAACAAAAATGAGGGAAAAAATTAATAAAAACATTCCTCTCTATACTATCTATTGATTGTAAGTAGCTTCTGTCCAAGTTTGGTAAAAATCCAGGATAGTTTATGAATCTAATAAATGTTTTAAAAACTTAAACTGCAGACTGTATGTAATGTTAACTGGAAGAAAAACTAAGTCCATTTATAAGTAAAATACGGAAAAAATGGAACAAAATTTTAACAAAATTTCCTTCTAGATACTAGCTTTTAATCATAAACAAGCTACTGTCCAAGTTTGGTACAAATCCAGGATAGTTTAAGAAAGTTGTTAAAATTTAAAAAAACTTTAACCACAGAGTGAATGTAATATGTAAACTGGCAGAAAAACTAAGTCCATTTATAAGTAAAATACGGATAAACTGGATTTTTTTTACAAAATTTACTTCTGGATACTATCTTATGATCATAAACAAGCTTCTGTCCAAGTTTGGTACAAATCCAGGATAGTTTAAGAAAGTTGTTAAAATTTTAAAAACTTTTACCACAGAGTGAATGTAATGTTAACTGGCAGAAAAACTAAGTCCATTTATAAGTAAAATACGGAAAAAATGGAATTTTTTTTTACAAAATTTACTTCTGGATACTATCTTATGATCATAAACAAGCTTCTTTCCAAGTTTGGTAGAAATCCAGGATAATTTAAGAAAGTTATTAAAATTTTAAAAACTTTAACCACAGAGTGAATGTAATGTTTCCTGGTAGAAAAACTAAGTCCATTTATAAGTAAAATACGGAAAAAATGGATTTTTTTTTTTACAAAATTTACTTTTGAATATTATCTTATGATCATAAACAAGCTTCTGCCCAAGTTTGGTAAAAATCCAGGATAGTTTAAGAAAGTTATTAAAATTTCAAAAACTTTAACCACAGAGTGAATATTTGTGGACGCCGCCGACGACAACGAGGACGACGACGACGATGCCAACAGAATGTAGGATCGCTATGTCTCGCTTTTTCGACAAAAGTCGAAGGCTTGACAAAAAACAATAATGTAAAATTACATTTATTTGTGGCTTAATCGTTTTAGTGGATTTCAGTAGTAGAGAATTGATAAGAAGTAGTGGATTCGTAAACGATAATCAACGAGCGACTTTAGTCGCAAGTTGATTATAGTTTACGAATCCACTACTTCTTATCAATTCTCTAGCTTAACCCATTTCTTGTAAAAAGACTGTCTGTTTTATGTTTTGACAATGAATCAACGGAATTTCATAAAAATGATTTCGTATTTTGTCTTTTTTATTCTATAATAGCTGGAAATGATTATATCCACACGGTTCACGTCTATATTTAAGTTAACATAAGTTTGATATAACTTAAATGGGTTGTTAGCTCCCCTTTTTATTACCAGATTTAATACTTGTATATTTATATTTCATTTAATGTTTTATCATTACAAAGTATTTAAATTATATACATTTTGGTATTTATGATTTATTCAAAAAGACATATGTAAATATACAGAATTTTTTAATCTTTTTTTGAATAGTTAAAAAAATCTAATTACCAAAATTTAGAAACCTTTCAAATTTACATATATAGTATTAAGAAATCTATGAATCTTTACAGCTGATTAACGATTGCCTGCAATTTAACCGTATTAAGTCAAATACATGTATTTAGCATAGTTGCCATAATACTACAATTTTATGATGCTCCAGTAAATGATGATTTCCGAAATAAATAAGATAATTGCTGAAGGTCTTTTTGAAAATTATACATGTATTTTGTTTAAACTGTTTCCCTTTCATTAAGTTTAGATTATTTTAACGTTATTACATTTGGCATCCATCGTAAACCAGTCAATAAACTAGTATTTTCTGTGGTACGCATTCTAAATCTCCAGCAGAATTGCTCGTGCTACAGATGTACAATGTATAATTATGTTAATTTTTTACTACTACATTCAAGCTGTTCATAGCCGTGATCGTCTAGTCGTTGGTATCAAAAGACACAACTGTGATATTAGCAGTGCCAAGTTCAAACCTTGTACCCGAATTGAAAGTTTTCATTGCAATTTTTTTCTCGACAAAAATATTGTTTTAATCTTAGAGGTATTATATACTTCATATTCATTTTAAGGCGATGATTTTGTTTCTGGTTTTACAGTCAAGGAAGTAGTTTTACGGTCGTAGCTTACATATCACACTTTATTCAAATTAGAGTACGTTCAATGTTGACGTGATGTATATTTGGACCATTTATAATCAAACAAAGAAGAAAATATTGATAGTTCAATATCATTATAAGACTAAAACCTTAAGTAAGCATTTGCTATGATGAAAAGGAAAAGTCCTTGTACGTTAAAAGTGACATGTGTAATGGGCATATGGTTGTTTATTTTATCAAGGAACTGTACTAATATATACAATTCCTCGATTCTCTAGTGTTTAGAACTAGTGTGTAATAGCCACAATCGTATAAAGACCCATCGGTTCATTATAACGATGTTGAAAATCGACCAATGTTCAAACCTGACATCGTGAATAAACTCTTTTTTAAGATATTTCCATACTGCTATATAACTATACTCAAGAACGTTCAAATGTAGAACATAATCTTCCTTAAAAAATAACGCATAAAACAATTAACATAAATTTGAAAAGAACATGAACAAATCCAGACATAGTATAAATATTTTATTAGATAACAAAAGCGAATTATCTCTGAGATAGAAATACAGTTTATTGACATGTATTGACAGTTGTGCGCTTTAAGAGTGTTATTTAAATATTGATTTATGTCAGCACTCGTGGTATAGTGGTATCATGCATAGACTGAAGACTCTGCTGATTATGAAGAAAATACGCGCGAGTTCGAACCCTTCATATGCCTTTCGTTTTTGAAAGGATAAAAAATCGTAAGTTAAAAGTTTAAAGTTATAAAATAAGTTATCTTAAGTTAACTCAGTGGATTCTTGAAAAATAATCTACTGTAAGAACAATAGACTGACGTCAGAGAAATGGGTTAAAGGTTCATCTAAACCATACAATTGTTTGAAACCAGTATATCTACTTGATAAATTGTCATCAATTTTAGCCCTGAAAATAAAATCCCCAGTAAATTTTAGCTTCTTACATTTATCTGTTGTATCTAAAGTTGTTGTAATATAAGAAAGGACCATAATGCAAAACTAGTCAATATGTGATAATATATGTCAATCCTGTTTAAAAAATGCAAGGTATTTTTATGCGTCTTGTTTTTGTGTGAAAAAATGTGCAGTTTGTCAAATTTGTCTCAATGTTTTGTTGTTCATAGTTTTAAATATTGTAAAATGAGCAAAATATATATATTTTGTTTTGAAAATAAATTCCATTCTATTATCATTTTAAAGCATTAAACAGACAGATATGGCTGACAGGCCTTATATTTACACCTATTTTACACCTTGAATGTTGTCAAATCATGAGACAAATGAGGATAAACAAATGAGGGTAAATTCTTTTTTCCATGCAATTTTATAAAGACCTTCTTTCAAGATGAAGAATTGCAATGTAATGACTAATTTTTCTTTTCATTCATTATGCAAATTCATTTGATATACTGTAAATTCAAACACTTCTGTGCATACTGTAAATTCAGAAATTATTGCGTGCGTTTAGTATTACAATTTTTGAAAAATTGGAAAAAATGCAAGATTAATTATTGCGACTTCAGGAAAAAGTGAATAGAAATATATGTATTAGATATCATAATGTGAGGTCTTATTATTGGGATACTCATGCAATCGCATTATTCGCATTAATAATAAAATGTTAACACAGAGATATGTCTCGCCTATTTGTTATTTTGATAATAAATTAAAATAGCAATACTTTAACATGTAAGTTACGCAAATATTCAAAGTCAATTAACCATGACTGAAGGTATAGGGCTAAACAATCTCCATGGAAATGATATGTGCCAATGCTAATACAACTGCAAACCAAATACCATTGACTTTTCATAAGTTGTTCCCTTTAAACAAATCTAAACACAAACATTAACTTGTAAATTATGTAAAAGTTTCAAAGTCAATGAACCATAATTAGGGGGTGGGGTTATATAATCTCCATGGAAATTAAAATTGCACATGCCAATACATTTGCATACCGAATATCATTGACTTAACATTAGTGGTTCATCTTAAACTGACCTAATCACAAACTAATACATGTAAATAAACTAAGCAAAAGTTTCAAAGTCAATAGACCATGACTGAGGGGTAAGGATCAAATATTCTTCATGGAAATGAGATGTGCTAATGCTTATACAACTGCATACCAATTATCATTGACCTACCACTAACAGTTCCCCTTAAACTGACCTAATCACAAACTAATACATGAAAACTAAGCGAAAGTTTCAAAGTCAATAGACCATGAATGAGGGGGCAAGGCCAAATAATCTCCATGGAAATGAGAAATGCCAATGCTTATACAACTGCATACCAAATATCATTGACCTACCACTAGTGGTTCCCCATAAACTGACCTAATCACAAACTTATACATGTAAACTAAGCAAAGTTTTAAAGTCAATAGACCTTGACTGAGGGGATGGGGCCAAATAATCTCCATGGTGATGAGATGTGCCAATGCTAATACAACTGCATACCAAATATCATTGACCTACCACTAGTGGTTCACCATGACCTAGACCTAATCACAACTAATACATTGTTGACGTCGCCGCCGCTGCTGCCGCCGGAAACAGCATACCTATGTCTCGCTTTTTGACTCAGTCAAGGCGAGACAAAAACCTTGCAATAATTTCTGAATTTACAGTATTCATTATGGCGATTGAACAATGGCAAAAATGTGAAATTGTTTATTAAGATCTCATGAAATGTTGCAAACAAATAATGCTTTCAAAATTCTTAATGCAAGTTTTTATTTTTGCAAAACCTATCTTAGAGCAATTTTACAATTAGTAAAAGCATTCAAAATTTTTCTGAAATTACCGTATTCCCATGCATCTTGAGTTCATATCTGTAGTTTTTATAATAGATTTATATCTACCTTGACATACGCCCTCAGCTGATTGCCTAAATCCATCTGGACAATCACATATAAAACTTCCTCTTCTATTTATACATTTCTGACTTGAAGAGCAGTCATGGGTGCCTCTTGCACATTCATCGATATCTGTATAATAAAAAAACTTCACTGGACAATGCAACAACTGACAGTATTAGTAAGAAGGATGCATAAGTAATTTCAATCAGTTGATAAATTCTTTATATATATAAGTGTTAAAGTGAGAAGCAGTACCAATTTTAAAATCTTTGGTTTGACCTGGCTTGGGATTAAACCTCACAACCTTCCTTATTCGAGGCTAGCACACTACTGTTTTGTTTGTTGTTTGCAATAGTATTTATTTTGCTTGTCAATATATCTATTTCTATTCCTACAACCAACAGAAAGAGATATCATATACTCAGTTATTTTCACATCTTGTATGGTTCATGGTTTGGCTATTAGAAGGGGGAGTAAAATCTTAGTGGTTTTTATTATTTGATTTTTGCAGCTTTGTGAAATGTATTTCAAAGGACAGCAAAATGTTTGGATAAGGTAAATTTTGTGAAAAAAATTGCTAAAAAACTTCATGGTATACTGTATGATATCTTACCAACACACTTTCCTGACCGGGAGTCAGCTTGGTATCCTGGTTCACAGTTATAGTTAGAACGGCATCTATATGCCCCATAGGTATTCTCACAAGTTTCAGTGGAATCACATATCCCAGATCTCTGGCACTCATCCAAATCTGTAATTTTACCGGTAGATATGACTTCATAATAAGAGACAGACAACTATGAAGTTACAAAACATTCATTAAAATATTTTTTTGCTTTAAATAAACTAATTTAAAAACTTTTGATAAACAAAAGTCCAAGAAGTCTTCACCAAGATGTCAGTCATTTTTCAATACTAAAATAAAAAGTTCAATGTTTACTGTAAACATTTTCTACACAAGCAATTTTGAACATAATAATTATAATGTCCTCTTTTTTTCTCCCTATAAACTCTACAATTACAGTCCGGCCATCCAATTTCACATTTTCTGGTCAATTTTTGAACACAATCCATTTCATGTATATGCTTTACCATTAGAATAAATTTTCTGAGAAGTATTTGAAGTATTTTGCTAATAATCACACAGTGTTTTTTTCTTAGTGCTATGGTTAAGGTCAGTGCATTTTAGAAAGTATTCCCCTTCACATAATAATGATTACTGTCCTTTTAAAAGAACTCATATGGTATTTTATGTTGGGTAAATTTTAAAAGTAAATGCAGTAAGACTCAGTTATTTCATATAAATTGAAATTTCCTTCACATACATCCTCAAAAACATGCATCAGTATATAAATTGTTGAATATTAAAAGAACTGCTTAAGTCAAAGCTACAGGCAGATCAAATATTACTGTAAGTTTTGACCAATTCAGTCCTTATTTTAGACCTTCTAGCAACTGTTTAGATGAAGAACTGCAAAAGAATAGCTTATCTTCTGATACACTGATTATCCTTAAGTCTTCAGATTGTTTTCTCCAGTACTTCTAACCCATATCTATTTTTCCCCATGATATGGTTCAATGTAAATTGCATGTATACAATCCTCCAAGAATCTGCTCGGACTCCAAAATGACAGTTAACTATGGCAATCTGTTTTACAATTATTCTAACTTCAAGATATCTAATAAACTCTATAAGATGTCTTATATAGTTTATAAGATATCTTATATAGTTTATAAGATATCTTAAATAGTTTATAAGATATCTCATATAATTTTCTTTATAAGATATCTTATAAATTATATGAGATATCTTATAAACTATATGAGATATCATATATATTATATGAGCTACCTTGAAGTTCCAATAAATAGAAAAACGGCTTGCCTTAGTTAACACTATGAAATTGCCTTGACCTTCAGCTGAATCAGTACCCACTAAACATTATTCAGTATAACTTACCAATGCACATTCCTCTAGAATCAGCCCTGAATCCTCGAGGACAGTTTACCCTCTCACATTTGCCTGTCCTAGTACTGAATTGGTGTCCATCTGGACATTGTGTAGCAGTACATCTAAAGGATCCTTTAATGTTGACACATTCATACCCATTCCCACAATTATGTGTCCCAGCTTCACATTCATTCACATCTATAAATAATCATAAAAAGTATTAACAAAAACACCATACTCTAAGGTATATTCAAAAAGGGGGGAAGTCCATAAAAACTGAACAAAACTAATGAAAAACAACTGTCATATTCTGACTTGGTACATGCATTTTCTGAAGAAAATGGTGGTTTAAACCTGGTTTTATAGCTAGCTAAACCTCCCACTTGTAGGACAGTTGTATATAGTTCCATTATATTGACAACATTGGGTGAACAACACAAACAGACATAGGTTGATTTATTTTTAAATAACATAATTTTATTATTTTATGTGTGCCAAGTAATCAATGTATCACATACTACTCTGAATGAATTGAAATATAAAACTAAGAAGATGTGGTATGATTGCAAATGAGACAACTATACACCAAAGCCCAATTGACCTAGATGTTGTCAACTATAGGTCACCGTATGGCCTTCAACAATGATCAAGGGCCATGATGGCCAAGCGGTCTAAGTATCTACTGTATCACTATAAAAATATGAAGATGTGGTATAATTGCCAATGAGACAACTCTCCACCAGTGACCAAATGACAACTATAGGTCACTGTACGGCCTTCAACAATGAGCAAAACCCATAATGCATAGTCAGCTATAAAAGGCCCCAAAATGTCAAATGTAAAACAATTTAAACGAGAAAACTAACTGCCTAATTTATGTACAAATAATGAATGAAAAACAAATATGATACACAGAAATAAATGACAACCACTGAATTACAGGCTCCTGACTTGGGACAGGCACATACAGAATTTGGCTGGGTTAAACATGTTAGCCAGCGCCCAACCCTACCCCTAACCTTGGACAGTGGTGTAACAGTACAACATAAGAACAAATTATAAAAGTCAGTTGAAAAAGGCTTAACTCATCACTAGTCTATGAACACTGAGGTTGTGAGTAAGAACCGTGGATGTGGCCCGAGGGCTCTATTCCAATCTTAATTGACTAGGATTGTCAGTTTTCCTGCCAAAGGTCCATGTTTCTCTCCTGGCACTCAGGCTTCCACCACCAATATAAACTGGTTGCCACAAAATAACCAGTAGTATTGAAAGTGGCATTAAACACCAACAATCAATCAATCAACAATGCCCAAATCCCATTCTGGAAAGTCAGCTGTTTTTATTGTTTTTATTTTAAAGGACAAGATACATTTTGAGACCATTTTTGTCCAGTAAATTCATTGAAAATAACCTATTGTATAAAGTATACTATTAAAATTATTCATTAAAAATTTTTTAACCTGTGTAGCTGACAGAATTTGAATGTGACAACATCACCGAAATATACCAGATTTCTTTTTCTATTTCAAGAGCATCTGGGCTTAACTACTATAGATTACACGAACTACCAACAATTCTTCTGCAGGAATAGAAGATTTTTCCTTCAATATTATCTTACTACAATACAGGATTTGAATTTTTCATCTTGTATCACACTCTACAAGTACTCATGCAGGAATAGAAACCTTTATCATACCCTTTTTGTACTCATCTGTATCATCTTACCACCTATACAGGACTGTTCTTCTTCCTTAAATGAGTATCATGTTCAACAGCCTTCAGTAATCATAATCCCATCCCAAAGTGTTGTTACTTACCTATACAGGACTGTGTTTCCTCATCCAAGGAATATCCAGTTCCACAGCCTACAATTCTCCTACAGGAATAGGATCCTTCATTATTTTCACACCTCTGTTCTGGTGTACAGGCATCGATCCTTTGGGCACACTCATCAATATCTTTAAAAAAATTAATTTGATGACATTATATTCCAACTCCAAACAAAATACCTGAGAGGGCATTGTCAACATGAAAAAAAAAAACAAAGATATCAGTAAGAGTTTCTTTTGAGCCATTTTACTGTACAATCTGATCGAATAATTTACCTGTGCATTTTAGGAAATTGCTTTATCCATCATGCATTTTTGTTCCTTGACCAACAATTGCATTTACAATCGAACCTAGTTAAGTCCAAGTCAAAGAGAACAGACAAAGTTTTTGACTTATTCAAGGTTGGACTCATTCGCGGTCAAGTGTATCGTCATAAATTTGGAATGCATGAAATACAGTATGAGATTCGTGTAAACTAGATATTTTTAACTGTGTGCCTTTTTTCGATTTGACAATTTAAAATTGTGTATTCAAGCTCCATATTTTTTGGTCCATCTAAAAAATTAAACACACAAGTACAGATGCAAAACATTCACATATAAAATCAATACACAAATATTTACAAAGGTTAGTCACAATGAATTATGGAATCCTTTGTGGAACGAAACAAGTCCTGATAGATCACTGATGAGGGATGTCTGCTTTGCATTTAATTATTGTAAATTTTGTTACAGTTGTCTTAATCCTTTAAATCATTTCAATTAATGAATTTTAATTCTAATGATTCATTTAATTGGAGCTTGGGTCATTTGAATTCGTTTGGTTTTTATATCAGGTGAAACATGTTGAAGTTCTACTTAGATGATCAACGAAGGTGTTAAAAAAAATTCATTATAAACATGTCATTTTAATTGATCGTTTATGTTTATGGTACAAAATTGCCAAATTAAGTATCAGGGGAAAACTATTAACTGTTTTAAAACCTATGTATAGTAATGTTAGAACCTGTATTAGATTTAATGGGCTAAACTCTGATTACTTTTGTAACAACCTTGGTTTAATGCAAGGGGAAGTTCTTTCTCCTATTTTATTTTCTTTCTATGTGAATGATTTTGAAAATGAATTTATTGCTAATGACAATTGTGCCTTAGAGTTTCTAGATATAACATTATTTTTGTTGATGTATGCTGATGATATGATTTTGATGTCTAAAACAGTAAAAGGTTTACAGGAAATGTTGAATACTTTGTCAATTTACACAGAAACATGGGGCTTGTCTGTTAATACAAAGAAAACAAAAATTGTTGCATTTCGTAAGGGTGGAATTGTATGGTTTGATGAGACATGGGTCTATAACGGTCAAACAATGGATATTGTGGAACAATTTTGTTATTTAGGTGTATTACTACCTGACAATTGTAAATTTCTTATTACACAGAAACATTGTGCAGAACAAGGTAGAAAAGCTACGTTCAGTATGAGGAGACCTATTTCATCTCTATGTTTAAATATATTTACAATGCTTAGTCTGTTTGAAACTTATGTTAGTAGTATATTAATGTATGGGTGTGAGATATGGGGAGTACACAAATTTCCTATGATAGAAAAGGTCCATTTGGACTACTGCAAAATGTTATTAAGTGTCAAAAGAACGACCTCAAATGTGAGGGTCTACTTTGAATTAGGTAGATTTCCACTGCAGTATTGGCGTAATTTTAGAATATTTAAAATTTGGTTCAAAATTTTAGTTAGTGACAATTGTATATTAAAATCTTGTTATAAAGAGCTTGTGCTAAATTGTTCAAAATGTATGAATTAGGCAACATATGTAAAAAGATTGTTATATAGTCTTGGTATGAATAATTTGTGGGAAAATAAGTGGTTGTTGAATGTAGACAGCTCAGATTTACCTTTAATAAGACAGTGTTTGTTTGATCAAGCTAATCAAGAGATACATTTTTTAATAGATTCTTCTGCAAAGTGTAGATTACATTAGTATGTGGCAACAAATGTACTTTTGCAATTTTGCAATTTTGTTTACAAAAATAAATTCCTGTACTTTTTCGTAAATGTATAACAAGGATTCGTTTGTCTTCACATAACCTTTGTATCGAAACTGAACGTTATGTTGGTACTATTAGAAATGAAAGAAATTGTATTTTTTGTGATTTAAGAGTAATAGAGGATGAATTTCATTTCATCCTACAATGTAGCAGATAAACTGATTTGCGTAAAAAATATATAAAAAAAATTACTGTCATCAACTTTTAAGTTAATAGAATTATTGTCTGGTGAAAACACAAAACAGCTTTGTAACTTAGGAAAATATATACATTTCTATTTTAAATTAAGAAACAGTTTATTGTAAAGATATTTTGTAATCATGAAACTTCTGACGTCACCTATTGTCATATTTAAATAGATTAAAGCTGTGTAAACATACTTGTTTGTATAACAGTTCAAATTCAAATTCTTTATTAACTTTGAGCCTTACGGCTCATCAGTGTATTCAAATATAGTGTATACATTTGGCACATTACAAACAATATTAACAATATGCATAAATAACAATAGGTGACGTCAGAAGTTTTTTAAAAAAAGCCATAAAAAGCCGGTGATTTCTTGTCAATTTGATAAACAAAACAAATCCCGGAAATGAATCCGGAATTATTCGTACTTTAAAATATCGCAAACTTCCGGTTTTAACTTTTGTCAAATCGAAAGAAACGTCAGCAATGTCTGAGAACTTAACCATTTTGAGTCATTAAAATCATTTCAATTTTTGACTGTTGCCTTCCCTAAACTGTCCTTCATGGTAATGGTAAGACATTTACTTAGTAAATGCGATGAAACAGCAATACAAGTTTGTCATGTTCGTTGATGCTATGAATATAGTCAAGTTGATATTGACAATTTGAAAAGGGGCACCAACTTTTCAAACATCTCAAAATGACCGATATTGTCTGGAAAAATTTCCGGATCCTTGTCTCTATGTCTTGCATTCTGTGACATTTTCTCACAAGCAAGACAAAAATCATATTGAAAACATCCAATATCAGAATTTTTTGTAGTACAATGATCTCACCTTCACAAGCTAAAGTAATCACGTTGAAATTAAATCCTCGATTACACTGCCTTTTAGTTACACACTGTCTTGTAACAGGATTAAGTTCCGCTCCCTCTGGACATTGTGGCGGTGGAATCCGTTCACATCTGTGTGTTCCATCATAGTTGACACATCGTGTGTCACTTGTACAGTTGTGTAGACCTTCGCGACATTCATCCCTATCTGAAATGTATATGAGATATACAATGTATGACAGATGCTAATTTTGGCTTTTTGCAAAATTTCCTCACCATGCAGAAAACTTAATAATATGTTTGTTCAATTATAGCTTATTCATTGGAAATATCAACAAACTTATCATTCAGGTGTTTTTAGGTATGCAAAGTGATCTTGTGTCATGAATTGATCTTATTCATTGTACTTTTGTCTATAAAAAATTTGTTAATATATTCAAATTTCAAAAAAATACCACTAGGTCTTCAGCAGAAGGTATGACGTTGCCATCCTTTTGGCCCATGAAATTTCGAAAAATCAAAAAGTTTTATAAAACTACCAAATAACATCCTTCAAATATTTATAAGGCATTAGTTTGATATATATCACTATTGATAGTTTTGAATTTGTTTCTTAAATATTTGCTTTAAGGGCCCCCCTTATGTGGGAAAAATTTGGTTGATTATATAGGGAATCACTGAAGCATGACTGGAGCGGGGCCCCCCCTTAGGTCAGTCAGCGGGCCCCCCCCCTTATGAAAAGTTCTGGATCTGCCACTGAATGCTTATACAACTGAATACCAAATATCATTAGTGGTTCCCCATAAACTGACCTAATCACAAACTAATACATGTAAACTAAGCAAAGTTTCAAAGTCAATAAACCTTGACTGAGGGGGCGGGGCCAAATAATCTCCATGGTAATGAGATGTGCCAATGCTAATACAACTGCATACCAAATATCATTGACCTATCACTAGTGGTTCCTCATAAACTGACCTAATCACAAACTAATACATGTAAACTAAGCAAAGTTTCAAAGTCAATAGACCTTCAATGACTGAAGGGGCGGGGCCAAATAATCTCCATGGTAATGAGATGTGCCAATGCTAATACAACTGCATACCAAATATCATTGACCTACCATTAGTGGTTAACCATTAACTAGACCTAATCACAAACTAATACATTGTTGACGCTGCTGCCGCCGACACCGGAAACAGCATACCTATTTCTCCCTTTTTGACTCCGTCAAGGCGAGACAATAAGCCAAGGCTTTACCCCAAAAAGTATATCCTACAAGATTCATATTACAAATATGTTATTTTTTTTGTACTGGGTAAGGCCTTGTCTCATATCTTCTTTGTCCAAAAACTATGTGTAAAATGGCCATTTGTGGTCAAATAAGTCAATTTGACCTGTGTTTATTCATCATAGTGACATCAAAGATAACTTTACTTTCCTGCACTGAAGTGTCCAGAATATAACTACTAGTAGTCCTTTGTTAATTTATGTATCATTGTCATTTTGCTTAATTTCTTTTGTTACCTATTCTGACATCGGACTCGGACTTCTTCTGAGTTTTACTGTGTGTATTGCTGTGTGTTTGTTTATCCTACATTGGCTAGAGGTATAGGGGGAGGGTTGTGATCTCACAAAACATGTTTAACCCCGCCGCATTTTTGCGCCTGTCCCAAGTCAGGAGCCTCTGGCCTTTATTAGTCTTGTATGTTTTTTAATTTTAGTTCATTTATATGTTTTGGAGTTTAATGAGACATCCATTTTCACTGAACTAGGTAGTACACATTTTTGTTTAGGGGCCAGCTGAAGCCTGTGTGCGGTATTTTCTCGCTGTGTTGAAGACCCATTGATGGGCTTCGGCTGTTTTCTGTTCTTTGGTCGGGTTGTTGTCTCTTTGACATATTCCCCATTTTCATTCTCGATTTTATTAAGGGCATACGATACAGTTACAGGGGAGGTAAATGCTATTTTTCACGACGTCAAAATGTGACATATCGGGAAAAGATGCATTTTCAACTGATTTTTATCATTCAGACTGATTTAGATTAAAAACGAGTTCATGGACCCCTCTTTTTAAACATGACATTTGGCTTGATTATGTATGAAGATTATTTGTGCCAATTTTTCTGATGATTTTTTTAAATTAGATAAATATACAGCAAAAAATGCCTTTCTTTGACCAAAATCATAAAAATGTGATAAAAATTAATCATTTCCAGAAATTTTTTACACAAATTCAAAGCACACTCACAATGTATGTGTAGAAAAGATATTCCAGATGCTTTTACAAAATTCTGCCTACATTTATCTTTTGAAACAAAAAAGTAAAGTATGTCTTTGCAAAGGATAGAAATGTCCAAGAAACCAAAATTTCCAGTAAATGTCTAAAGTTTCGACCCCATCTATTTCTAAAAGTAGCACATGAAGGTATATTTTTTATAACATATTTGAATTAACTAGGTGAAAAATAGCTTGTATGCAAACTTTTGTCAAAATTTCACCATGGGATCAAAACTGTATCGTATGGCTTAAGCTGTTCATTTATCCATAAGATCTGAATAATTTTGAAAGGCCTCAATAACTTTACTATTTTTTGAAATTTCAGGGGCCAAAAAATATGGCTCCTATCCTCTTTTCTTAAACTTCAACTTGATTTTCATGAAGAGGAAATATTGTTATTCCACACTTATTTACTCTGTTGTTAGCAATATTTTTTACTTTTTTCCCTTGACTTAAAAATCAACAACTGCCAAAATGACCAATCAAATGTTATAATCATGCATTTTATATTTGATGAAAAGCTCATCATAGTTTATTTTTCAAATGTTTGTCAATATGTTTAATCAAAATGAAGTTTTGCTAACTTACTTTTGCTATTGTCAAACATAATGGCAAGCTATGATTTTTTTAATATGAGTGGGAGTAATGGTAAAAGGAATGTTCCGGTAGTCAAATCTCTTCCATTTTAAGTGAATTTAAAACAAAAAGAAGAAATTGTATAGATACTTTAGTAAATACCTTGACAAGCATGTCCATCAGAGGCTAGAGTATACCCAACATTACACTGACAAGTAACTCCAGAGTCTGTGTCTACACATAATTGTTGACATGGGTTGTAGACGGCACATCTCATACCTGAAAGATATATCATAACTATCAGTTGTTAAAATAGCAGAATACTAAAATTAACTCATGAAGGGAAGCAGAAATACTCCACTGATCAAATTATAGTGTCTAATAATTGATTTCATGCTTATTAATTAAACAGTAATTATCCAAGAATTCTTGTAAAGATATTTTATAATATAAACGTTCAAAGTTTTATAATAAAATTATATTTGCCATATGAAAACAAACAGTGATAATGGTTTCAGTATGTAGTATTTTTTCCCCATCTCTCTTCATTTTATGTCCGACAATGTTAAAAAACATACTAAAAACTGTAAAACCAATTAAATATATAAATATATCTTTGTAACTTATATATATATTATTTGGATTTCAGACAAAATACATTGTCTGCAATATCTTGATATGTTTTATATTCTCTGACCCTTAGCTTATGATAGTTTTTAGCACTTCCCCATATGAACATAAAATTCATTATTTATTACTGAATAAATTACAGCCATCTACTACCTATGTGTTTCATAGCCTGGGATCCTGGCTCACTGCTTGACAGTAGAGCCAGGCGGAATACAACGACATGGTTTCGTGAATTGGATGTTAGAATGATGCAATGTGAGATAGCGTCATTTCTTGACACATGGCGGGAAATATTTGTACTGTCACGAATTCATTGAAAATTATTTTTCATTCCATATGAAATGCAAATTTCGAAAAATTTAGCATATATAATTCAAACGTTATTGATTAACATCGTGAATCAACTGTTAATTAAGGATCCGATCTATATATTCCTTGTTTAGAGAACAAGTACATGCGCAGTAATTCAGTCCTGTTCAGGGCTGATAGTTCGTCACGTGGATTGTATTACGCCTGGCCCTATCGACGAAGTATTAGATTGGGTCAGGATACCAGGCTATGTGTTTCATAGTCTTTGATAGAGTAAGTTACTCTCTTTATGTCTATTGTCTATTGATTTTTTGTGTCATTGAGTTGCTGTCTCCATGATGTAAGCACCACATCTGCTTTAAGGATGTTCGCTACTCTTGTTTTTGACTTTTTGTCAGATTTTCGAAATCCTCTAATTTTATCCATCTAGTGCCAATAAAATTTTGTCCACTAACCCCAAATTTTCTTTTCATAATTTTATAATGTATAGTTCAAAACTCCATTTTTGAAAATCTTATGAAATCCTTGATATTTTTTCATTGTTTTTGAAAGAAAAAAGATGCCAATGTTAAATGTATGAAAAATCTAGAGAGAATCATTTCCCGCCAAATTTTCAGTTGATTATATCTCAGAAAAAAGAACAAGGACCTATCAATTTTTTCTAATTTTTAAGTTCTCTTATTTATATTCTATCAAATAATAATAGTCTTTTAAAAAGCTTGTTATTCTGTAAAAAAGGAGCAAACATCCTTAAGCTATCAATGAATAATGACCAATCTTGTTAAATGATTAGTTACCTACCTTTATACTTCCATTGGTCAGCTTTTAAATGAGCATTAGATTTTAATGTACATCAAAGTTTTTGTCCCCAGAAAATTAACTCCACATAGTGTTTTACCAGCGTATTCATTTTATTGTTAAACAATTTTATTCACTAAAATTGGTGAACTCAAACTATTGGAGGAAGATATAGAGAAAAGAAGAAGAACTTACGACTGTCTTGATCCCTGATACAGGTTGATTCGTCTTGATGTAAACTATGACCATCTGGACATTCACACCTATAACTGCCGATCGTGTTCACACAAGTGTGACTACATAACTTATTTGGATAAAGTTCACATTCATTGATATCATTACTGACTTCTGAAAACAAATAATTATAGAATTTACAGGTTCCAAGTGGACTGTATCACTTAAAGTCATACGAAACTTCAAGTTGAAAAAAAAAAGTTGAATATGTTTTATTTACTTGAATGGCTAAGTTTTACTATAAAACAAGTGTATGTGAACTTTCTTGTAAAAGAAAATCCTTTATATTATCAAAATCTTCATAATGTACTGCTTTTGAATTATTGTCTTCCCATACAGTAATTTGCTGATATTTTCCAGTTTGCAGTGACCTTTACTATGAGACTTCCTATTATAACTTCCGCCAAGTGCGAGGAAGAAACCATGAGGAAAGAATGTAAACAAACGTACACTGAAAGGTAAAACGTAATGAAATATTCTTAAAGAACAAATTTGATACAAAAAATCCTTTAACAACTGTAAAGGAAAAGTTCAATTAACAAATGGGAATGCATGGAAAATATAATGGCTAATTCAATTCACTTATTTATCATTTGCTGCACATGCTCTATATTGATTGTTTATCAGTGTCACAATATGGCAGCTTCGGCAAAAAACTCAAAAGTTAATTAGGTTACGATCAACAATCACTGAATGAAATATTATTTTTTGATAATAAGTTATAGATTTGTAATACATATTAAACAAGAGGCTCTCAAGAGCCTAAATCGCTCACCTGTAATTTTTTGCTTAAATCTTTCATCAATGATTATTTTTGTTTTTCAATATATATTAATCAATGGCTTAAAACTTCCATTGGAAGTTTCTTTAATATCTGTCATATTTTCTTCAAAATCAAAGAAATGCATTTTACCCCTATGTTTCATTTTAGCCATAGTGGCTATGTTTCTTGACGTACAAGAAAATAAAATACAAAATTTATACTAGATACTCTGAAACTTATTCAGCCCAAGTTTGGCTGAAATTGATTCAGCAGTTTCAAAGGAGAAGATTTTTTAAAGTAAGCAAACTAAATGAACAAATTGTGAAAAATTGATTTTAAAGGCCAATAACTCCTTAAGGGGGCAATTGACAATTTTGGTCTACTTATTTGTAGATCTTACTTTGCTGAACATTTTTGCTGTTTACAGTTTATCTTTATCATTAATAATATTCAAGATAATAACCAAAATCTGCAAAATTTCCTTAAAATTACCAATTAAGTGGCAGCAATCCAACAATGGGTTGTTAGATTCATATGAAATTTTCAGGGCTGAGAGAGCATGGCCTAATAAACATTTTTACCTCCATCAGATTAGCTCTAAATGCTTTGGTTTTTGAGATATAAGCCAAAAATTACATTTTACCCCTACATTCTATTTTTAGCCATGGTGGCCATGTTTTTTTTTATGAAACAGAAAATAAAACACAAACTTTATTCTAGATACCCTTAGAATCATTAAGCTTCAGTTTGGTTAAAATTACCAATTTAGTGACAGCAACCCAACAATGGGTTATCAGATTCAACTTAAAATTTCAGGGCTGATAGAACTTCACCTAATGAACACTTTAACCCCACGTCAGATTTGTTCAAAATGCTTTGGTTTTTGAGATATAAGCCAAAAACTGCATTTTACCCCTATGTTCTATTTTTAGCCATGGTGGCCATGTTATTTGACGAAACAGTAAATAAAACACAAACTTTATTCTAGATACCCTAAGCATCATTCAGCTTAAGTTTGGTTGGAATTGGTTCAGTAGTTTCAGAGGAGAAGATGTTTGAAATAGTTTACATCAGACAGACTACGACGGACGACGACAGACGACAATGGATGCCAAGTGATGGCAAAAGCTCACAGTTTCTTTGGAACGTTGAGCTAAAAACATGCATACAAAACTTAATTTAGTATATATGCATGCATTGGTTCAATAATTTCGATCACATTAAAATTACAAGAAACTCGTTTCATATGACTTTTAGGGCATAAGATACACTAGCAGTGACAGATAATAGCTCATCTAAGTTGATAATAATATGCATTGGAATTTCCAAGAGAACATCAAATCAGATTTGTAAATTTATAAACATTCTCGTTGGTTTTCTTGTTTGAATTGTTTTGAATTTGTCATTTCAAGGCCTTTTATGGCTTACTATGCGGTATGGGTTTTGCTCATTGTTGAAGGCCATACAGTGACCTATAGTTGCTAACTTTTAAGGCATTTGGTCTCCGGTGGAGAGTTGTCTCATTGGCAATCATACAACACCTTCTTATTTTCTTATCAAAGGAAATTAATAGTTGTTTATGGAAGCACACAAAATCCACTGTTGGACATCAAAATAAACAACTGGTCATCAAAAATATTTAATAAATGTCAGAGATTTATCTTCCTTAAAAGCCTATAAACTAAGGTATACTTTGGGAAAAAAATGGTGAAAATATCTCTTTATGTTTGAAAGCTTTGATATTTTATCTTCAAAGTATTGAAATAGGAAAATTTGTGTTTTTATCTAAAACAAGCAAACATCAACCAATATATCTCAAAAAGTAAGTCATGAAGTTATATTTTTATTTGTATGTTTCAATGGTTCATATAAAATTGCTATGTGTTAAAATTGTAGGGAAAATTCCATGTGAAATCTCTTTTACAGCATTTTGAATTTGAACCTTAGAAGCATTTTTCAAAATTTCTATTTTTTTTTTAACTCTTTGTAATAGCAGGCCATATTTAATAGCAGTTGCAGTGGTGAACCATCATTCCTGAGGACCTTTATAAAGGTAATATTTCAACAAGAAGATGGAGTCACTCTTCATCCCTCCTTGTAATGCAATCCTACATTGAAAACAAGAGTGCATACGCTGAAATGTATCGACGGCTTTACTGACCATTGATTTTATGTTGAAATTCTTTCAGAATAAAGGTTTTACTACAAGTATCACACAAATTAAACATTTCTAAAGATCCAGGACAATAAGGTCAAGGTCAGATAAAAATTGTCAGACAGACATGTACATGTAGACACGTCTCATTGGCACTCATACCACATCTTCTTATATCTACATCTTACAATCATTCCATACATCAAATACAGTTGACCTAGTGCTTATGGTAATTGAAAAACAGACCAAAACACAAAAACATAACATTGACGAATAAACCATGAAAATGAGGTCAAGGTCAGATGAAACCTGATAGCCTGATATGTATCCCTTACAATCATTCCATACATCACATATAGTTGACCTTCTGCTTATAGTATCTAAGATACCACCTAATTATGTAACTTTAAGCTTGATCACTGATCCATGAAATGACATTGAGGTCAGGTGAACCCTGTCTGACGGACATGTAGACATTGCAAGGAACCTATATACCAAATATAGTTACCCAGTATCCTATTACTCATAATAAGTGAGAAATATATATGACAAAAAAACTGCTATTTTTTTTCAAGCAGTCACTGAATTATGAAAATGAGGTCAAGGACAATGGACATATGACAGATGGAGACTTCGTAACATGGCAATGATTTACTAAATTTTCCCGAAATTAGTCTGAGTCTTTATTGATAATGAAACAAAGAACAAAGTGACCTAACTTTGACAAAAAATGATCTAATATTTTATCAAGGCATCTTTATGAACTCAATAATGATGGGAGTTCAGCCAATATCATAATACCTGTAATGTTAGCAGCATTTGGTCCAAGACAACAATCTTTATACACACGATCACATGGACCACCAAATTCCTCATTTCTCAACAAATTACAGTCACTACCCATGGTCCTGGCTGTAATACCAACCCTGCAGCAGTGACAGCATTCCTTCAATAAAAAATTCAAATGTTTATTTGATTAAACATATATCGTATCCTGAATCAATAACTTTAATTCAATTACTGGGCAAGCAGGCTAAAACTGAAGAAACAATAATATATTAAGGACACTTGAGGGTCTGGACCAGGGATCCTTATCACTGTATTCTTTGATTTTTTTTTCATTTTCTCTATTTTTGGCCCGTTATTCTCTATTTATTGTATTTTAGAACCCTGTTATTCTATTCTTTACTTATTTTTACCTATTTTTCTCTTTTCTATATTTTTTCACTGTTATTTTTTTTACACTGTACCACTGTATACTCCAAGTACAGCAGTGTCAATGTTCTGACTTCATGCATAATAGTTTTTCACATGGATCTGTCTCAAACGCAATTTCACCACATCTTCTTGTTTTCATATAATGAGATCATATTATCAATAAAATTTGTACATTCACTTATTGAATAAAATTAATTCAAAATTAAAAGTATGAAATTTTATTCATATAGTTTAAATATACAAGGGTTTCAAAAAGGTTTTGTATAGTACATTTTCCTTATGAAGAATTGATAAAAAAAAATTTGTTTAGTTTACCATTAAAAGCATTTTCAATTAAAAAAAAATAAGCATAAATGAGTATTTGTGTTGAACTGTAAAGTTTTAGTTGAATAGTCGATTCATACCTTGTATTGCTCTGACCCAAAAACATCATCCCTGATAGCACAGAAACTGTTTTCAGATGCATCTTTTTTGCCATCCTCACATTGTGTACGATGCTTCTGTTTCATGCAACATACTTCTAGCAAAGAACGACAACTCCGCTGATCATCTTGGTGTACATTTTCTACAGCACTGGGATAATTGTCACAACGACTGCTCTTTGATGCCCACTGGGTACCTACCACACAGCACCGGACTAAGAGATTTGTATCCACAGCACCTAAAATGAAAGAGGTGTCCTTACGACTCCTTTATTAGGTATAACTTATAATATATAAAATATATATTTTAAGACGTATGAAATTTCTCACAGCTTTAAGGTTAGAACATGTAATAGATTACTCCCTTTCAGAAGAAGAACTTTCCATACCTTGGTTTTAGTGTCTCTAAACTACTTTTTTTTATATTTTCATACTGTTTATTGTTTTCTAAAGTTTTCTTTTTCCCGTTTCCTGAGATAATTCTTACAAGAAAGGGGGAGTAATCATGGATGTCAACTATTGCAAAATTTCAGCAAGAAATTGAATGAAAAGGAGTAGTGGCTAAGTCCCTTATTTAACACAAAAGTTAGTGCAAATTAAAAAGTTTCCATACATATTCTTAACTTTGTCATAACTACACTAAGGTACAAAGTGTTCAGAAAATTAAAACAAATTTCACAGTTAATTAGTTACCATGGCAACAAACCATGACGACATTTGTATTTTATGTAATTTTTTTTGTATTTTTCCTTGTTTAACATCCACTTTTAAGTATATATTAGCTTGGAAAAGTATGTGGGCACCCAAGAAACAACTTTGTATTTGGTAGTATTATGTAAATAGTTATAATGAAGCTTCTCTTAAATTATTTCGTTGTATCTCGGCTGCGCACAATATTTCCACAAAGGAAATAACAACTGAAAACTGCATAATTTCAGCTGTGTTCTTCATTTTTATGAATTTGGTGTATATTATGAAGTAATTGAGATGTCATAACATCAAAAATCTTCTGTAATTCATTTATATTTCTTAATTTTATGCATTTCCAAACATTATGTGCATAATTGAAATAGTTCTTAAATACTTTATTTTCTTGGGCCAAAACCAGCCCTTAATGCCCTACTATTTTAGCAATTATATCTACCTGCAGTAAAAAAAAAGTTTAGAAATAAAAATAGCATACAATCTAATACTTACCTTCAGAAATTCCAAAATGCACACTCACAACTAAAAGTACAAAATATAAGAACATTTTCCAAAGTATCTAAAAATAAAATCTTTCAAAATTTAAGAGAAATGAAAGTTTTAAGATGTGTATTCCTCCCTCTATCTATCCCTACTTAATTTCCACTTATGATAGTGTAATTAAAGTTGAAACACAAGACAAGTATACTGTACAGGGTTAACATAGGGGTAATTATAGATTATTTGATATCCTAATTGTCTTATGTGATAAATTAATTATCATTATCAAATAATGAAAGTTCATTAATAAAATGTCTGAGCCTTGGACAAAAATAGATCTATCTAGGACAAAGACATTTTTTTTCAATTTGAAACTGATATATGCAATCTGCACAGAAAAGAAATAAAATCTTTATGTTAAACAATTAATTGCCAAAAATTCCAATTTAATTTTCATATTTGCTATTTAAAAAACTTAATCATCAGAAATTAAGAAAAAACAAAAAAAACTTGTAAAATGAGAAAATTAATAGTATAAATGATAAATGCAATGAAAAAGAATTTGATTTGATATTAGACATTTTTTTAAATACTGAAGTAGTTTCCCTAGGGTGCCCCTGGATTATTTCCCATGTTGAGTAGCTATACTTCAATAATATCAGACACCTTATGACAAATGTCCACTCCATGTGGCAGACACCTTTTAATGGTAATTAAAAATTTCCTACCTCAATTCCATTGTTATATACTGGCTCTTTACCTAACAATCAAACTAATCTCTAATTAAATAAAAGACATTTTTGTTCAGCAAATTTTACAATCTATACAGCTTATTGCATAAATATGTTAATTAATTTACCAGACACAAACTTTGGAATTATCGTGTTATATTTGAATTCTAACATTCCAAGAAGAAAAGCTCCAAAAATGCAAAACTCATCTAGTAAATGTAAAATCAAAGTAATATAAGAGAGAATTAATATAAACATTTTATTTCTTAAAATTACTGTAATTTCAAAATGTGTTTGCTTCTATTTCACGTTAAAAAAAATACCAAATTTTACTTTATTTTTCTCCAGTTTAAAATAACCAATCAAGCAAAGATAATAAAACACAAAATTAATAAATTGATATCTTTTTATATATATCTATATTTGGGTTAAAGTCAGTACTATGTGTAATTAACCAACTTTACCACCAAAAGGAAGTACTTCACTTTATATGAAGTGGTTCTATATTATTATTGTTGAGTGTTCCGATAGCATCAAACAGATTAGGAGTAAAATTTGTGAGAATGTAAAAATTTGCCCTCTTGAGATTTTATTTATTTTAATAAAATATTCAGTGCGTCATTTTCAATCTAATAGTGCGACTTAATCCACCATTTTTTTCTTTTTGAGTCATTACAGTAGACACCATAATTTCATAACTAATTTTCATGCAAATGACAATCTCAAAAAAAGGTATTAAAAAGATAACTGCCTATGTTAAACAGCACAACTGAGGAAGAAATAAAAGTTCACCCGAAGTCATGTTGTCTTTAGCAGTCACCAGTTTTAAAGGCTACTGTGGATTAATTTATTATTTGAGTGTTGAGGAAAGATTGTATGTTCATGGATTTTTGATTTCATGGTTTTTCCAAAGTCTGCATACAAGCTTATAGAAAATTTGTACTTCGTTGAATATTTAAATTCATGGTTCATCTTAACCGAAATAATCCATGAAAATAAGTATCCAAAGAATAATAATGAATTCACAGTATATTATATACTTCATAGAACTCACCAGTTTCACAAAAAGCTGGTTAACAGCTGAATGGCTTCTGGTACAATATCAGTGGAATACCATGTATTCATTATCCCTGAATCAGGTTCTCCACAAAATAAATATTTTAATTTAATTGATAGCTGAAATAAATAAAATTAACATTTTAGTTATTTCTTTATCAACACATTGACAGCCACAATATATGACTTGATAGCAAGTAAAACAAGTAAAAAAATGTAACTTTGTCATGGAGTTTTCTTTATCAATATGGAAATATGGTGCAGTATTCAAAACATGAACTATGTATGTTTATTAATTGACCAGTTTCTTTATCCAATTTTTACCATTAACTCCAGTTAAATTTATTAATTACATGTAATGACTTTGTACAAATTTGAGCTTGACATATTATCAACACTTCTTTGTTGCTGAAGAATGTGTAATGACCACTACATGTCTTCTGGTGCTGTTTTTTTTTACGTATACACCACATCTGCTCTATTTCATATTAATCTGTATTACATATCATGGGTAAATTGCTTCTTGATATATATATTTCCCTTAGGGTTAACTACAAAACTCGGTGTTCATGGTAGTTTATCAATTGATATAGTACCTGGTCCAAACCACTTTCCCAACTTCATTTGAATAATGCAGTTCTACAATATACCTTAAAGCTTTTTGTCCTCCATTAATGGCCATCACAGACGTTCCCGTAGAATTTTGACATCATAAGAAAAAATATCTGATGCAACAATGCAAAAGTAATTGTCACATGACATCAGTACTTCAAGGGTCGCAAAATCACCAGTCAAGTGTCGAAGATTCCAAATTAGCCATAAGGTACCTTTAAAACCTTTCTTTCCCATACAGTCCAAGTAAAATTGTAACTACTAACAGTAATACTGGCTTTAGACAATGCACACTTAACAAAAACTAATTGACTTTCTATATTGTAAATGTCCAGTGGGCAACATTACAGGCATGTTTATGGCTAGAAAAAAAATCAATAAATTAAAATAAATTAAAGGAATGGACTTCATTTAATACAGATAAATAAGATGAACTGATAGTCGTCAAGTTGTTCAGAAATAAATTGGATGAAGGGACAGCTAATTCTATTTTATACTTGAAAATAACATCACAAGAACCTTTTCAAAAATATCTCATATGACAACCTATTAATCGTCAACCAGTATATTCACAGTATATCTACCTTTAGCGCAAGCGAATTAATACACTAAATTACCTGTTCTGCGTCACGCCCACCTCATTTATATGACCAGGTAAACTCAATTTGCGACAGTTAAACCCATGTTTTACGTAGGCCAAGCTTAAAATACAATACGGTTATCTCTATTCTAATGCAAAATGAACAAAATAGTCCATTTTAGTGTAAAACTTCATAAAACAAAAATTCTGCGAAATGATGTTTATCGTCTTTGGCAACTTAAGAAGGTGACGTCATATGTATGCTTCTGCAGTCAAAAATAAACACTGGGCGTTTTTTCAGGCTTCTTGTACGCCTCATGATATAATAAACTGTTAACCCATAGATATGTCTCGCCTATTTGTTATCTTGAAAATGCAAATGTTGAAATTAAAATAGCAATACTTTAACATGTAAGTTATGCAAATATTCAAAGTCAATGAACCATGACTGAAGGTACAGGGCTAAACAATCTCCATGGAAATGAGATGTGCCAATGCTAATACAACTGCAAACCAAATATTATAAGTCTTTCCCTTAGCTTTAAACAAACCTAAACACAAACATAAACTTGTAAACTATGTAAAAGTTTCAAAGTCAATAAACCATAATTAGGGGGTGGGATTATATAATCTCCATGGAAATGAAACTTGCAAATGCCAATACATTTGCATACCGAATATCATTGCCTTAACATTAGTGGTTCATCTAAAACTGACCTAATCACAAACTTATACAAGTAAACTAAGCAAAAGTTTCAAAGTCAATAGACCATGACTGAGGGGTAAGGACCAAATATTCTCCATGGAAATGAGATGTGCCAATGCTTATACAACTGCATACCAAATATCATTGACCTACCACTAGTGGTTCCATATAAACTGACCTAATCACAAACTAATACATGTAAACTAAGCAAAGTTTCAAAGTCAATAGACCTTGACTGAGGAGGCGGTGCCAAATAATCTCCATGGTAATGAGATGTGCCAATGCTAATACAACTGCATACCAAATATCCTTGACCTACCACTAGTGGTTCACAATGAACTAGACCTAATCACAAACTAATACATTGTTGACGCCGACGCTGGAAACAGCATACCTAT